CTTTGATATGATACAAAATTCATTAATAACTCTGATCTACAAAGAAAATTGAGCAGTGTAAGATAGAATTACAATTGTGATATTGGAAGCTACAGCATCATATATTGAGTTTGAAGCAGGTGTAACAAATTCCTATGAATTGAGTGGAACATTTTGTTGAGTTAAAAGTTAACTCATTGTTTAAGAAATAGGCTTTACCCTTTACACCCTAACATTAGGATGCATATTCTTCATACTGCTCTTTATACATTTCCTAAAGTGCTGACAAGGAGAATTTGTTTACCAATCAAAAGCTTCTTTCATTGGTGATCATTTCCTTTATTCTCATGACCTTAATGTGTGATTCAGGGATGATATTGAAAGGAAAAATACAAAAAAAAATACACGTTTTAATATAAGAGAGTTGCCTCAATCTTTTTCAGTCCTGTAAAAAACGAGAAAATTATAACAATTGAGTTCTTTCTGTAAAACAGTACAAAATCTTGTTCCATTGTGGTAAAAGAAAAATCAGTGAAGATGAATAATCATTCTGTCCATTGCCATATCTATTGCTTAACCCTTTGCACCCTAATATCAGAATACATATTCTCCTTAGTGTTCTCTTGATACATTTCTGAGCTGACAAAGAGAATTCATTTCACAATCAAGAAATTCTTTAGTTGATCATTTTCTTTATTCTCATGACCTTAATGTGTGATTCAGGGCTGATATTGTAAGGAGAAATTTGATGTTAGTCAATTGTAGGGTTTAAAGGGTTAAGCCTGTAGCTCCCAGAAGTGATTAACCTGTAACTTCTCCTTTGTCTAGTTTCTGAATGGAAAAACATTTCATGTTCTTCATATTTGGAACTGTAGACTGGATATATGGAACTGTAGATGTATAGTTAATACATAACAGAAAATTGATTTTGCTATCTAATGATGATCCTATTGATAATGATGATGATGCTGGATGATAGTAATTACAATAGTAATAAAAACAATCAAAAATAATATTTTATAAATGTTTACTTCTTACTGTGCATGCCATTGATTGCTAATTCAAGGCAGCATTGATTTAAAAAATTGTCAAAATTTTTCCCAGCTGTCAACTTCTCAGTCTTCAAGGGGGACATATTGAAATTCTTTTAGACTTGTACGTTAGGCATTTGTTCATCTTTTTTCCAAGTCCATTGAGATAAATCAAGCTCGACAATAGATTGGAGTTGGGGTATTTGTGGAAGCAGGCTTTTGTTTCACTAGCCTTTTCACTCCCAGATCTCATTAGGAATTCTCTGTACTGTCTGCCATACAGTTCTTATAATGCTAGTTCAGAGAATTTGGTATTGGATTAACTAATATTCCCCCTATTGACATTTTTATTTAATCTCATCACTTTCCTGCCTGATGTTGTTTAGATATTATGAGGAGACAGATACGCATTATTGTGAGGAGAATTATACTTTTCTTGATCACTCATGGTAGTTAAAGTAGTAAAGCTTGAGCCTTGCGAGGACATGGGGTGAAAGCAAACAATTTAAGCCACACTTTTTCAAGTGCACTGTTACCCTCTGCCCTTGGAGCTACAGGGCTGCTCGTTTTTCCCACTTGAATGCAGGCAGTATGAAGAGAGGTCTGGAGTTGATGGAGCCATGAATTGTGCATGTATCTGGGCCTAGCAGACTTATGACCACGTCAACTACAGACAAACAACCATCCACTGGAGTATAGACCGGGCTTAATTTAAATCTCCTGAACACTGCCTACACAGTGGTCAAACGTTTGTGCATGTGGGAACGTTGTAGTAATCAGGTGGTGTGCTTTTACGCTCAAAGCTTGTTTAATAATCAGTTTAAATAGAACGACTTACCCGCCTATGTGGTTGTTTATAAGACAACTTGGTTTTGATAGCCTGAAAGCATGCCACCAAGCCACGCCCTAGTCACTACAACGCTCACACATGTGCAGAGATGTTTGACCGCTGTGTTGAGTGTAACATACCACAATGTCATTGCTAATCATTGGCCATCTTAAGGAAGCGGGGCAGAACCTTTTACCTGACCTCAACAAGGCGGCTGAAAATTCCTAAGTTCCCAAAAGCCAATGACCTTTCCCCCTCTCCCCCTCTCCCCCTCTCCTCCTCTCCCCCTTCTTTCCCTCTCCCCTGTTCCCCTCTCCCCCTGTTCCTCTATCCCCCTCTCCCCCTCTCCCCTTTCCCCCCCCTGCCCCTCTTCCCCTGTTCCCCTCTCCCCCTCTGCCCCTCTCCCCTCTGCCCCTCTCCCCTCTGCCCCTCTCCTTCTCTGCCCCTCTCCCCTCTGCCCCTCTCCCCCCCCTTCCCCTCTGCCCCTCTGCCCCTCTGCCCCTCTGCCCCTCTGCCCCTCTGCCCCTCTCCCCCTCCCCTCCCCTCTCCCCTCTCCCTTCTCCCCGCCTACCTCGAGTGGTTGGACTCTACAGTATAGCGCTGTCTCGAGTATAAACAGGCCACTTTTGAAACGGGTAAAGGGGTAAGTTTCTTAAGAAACTTTGTTGTTGCGTCGGTCGGAGAGTGTAACAGGGTAATTAAGTATTATCAACTGAGTTGATAACGTAAATTGGCCACCGTAGAAAGTTTTAAAGCTGACGTTTCGAGCGTTTGCCCTTCGTTAGAGCGAATGTCGTTTGCTCAGACGAGGGCGAACGCTCGAAAAGTCTGCTTTGAAACTCTTTACCGTGGTCAACTTACGTTATTAACTCAACTGATAATACTGAAATACCCATTTTCGAAACGGCTGCATGTTGCTTCATTTTCCTAATTATTATTTTTCTTTCCTTTTGGAATAAAATCGAGTTATTCCGGTGATGTGTAAATATCAATTGCCATAATTTGCATAACTTAGCAGAAATCTGAAAGATTCTACAAGTGTTTTAACAAATCAGTGTCTTTGGCTCGATCTGAAGTCGAAAGAGGCTACATAGTATTACAAACGACATTCGATTTCGTCTTAAATGAGTTCTGCCACGCCATCTAATTGCAAATGAGATATTTTGCAAGTATTTAGCTTCGCAACACACAGTTGACTTGCTTCCATTGGTTAATCAGACACCTTGAAAACATCAGCTTCATCGTGTTACGACTCTAATTATTTCATTTTTTAAATTTATATCTGTAATGTAAAACAACATGCCAGTGTTAAAAAAAAAAAAAACTTAGGTGAAAATAATCTTTTGACTTACATCTTAACCTTTTAACTCCTAGAAGTGATTAACATGTAACTTCTCCCTTTACTATTCATAAATTATCTTGCAAACAGGTAATGAGAATACTCAAACCTTTCTAGTAGTTGTTATCTTGATCTAACTCTAAATTCTCGTAAGTTATTTACAAGGAAATATGTAGCAGTTAGAGGTGAGAATTAACAATCAGATCTTGGGAGGGTAAAGGCTCAGACAAATCCAATGAATCACAATTTTTTATTTCGTCTGTATAAGAATGAATAACATATCGTTTGTTTAATTGACAGATCCCCTGTCCGACAACAAAGGGTCGACGACAAGTGAGGTATAGACCTCTGCGCTTTTAACAGATCCTGACATGGAATAAAAAAGACTGACGAGGCATTGTACGTCGACTTTTCTTTCTACATGTTACTGCATGCATAAAAAAAACAGGAATAATGAATGGAGATGCAAATATTAGGATAAAGCTTTGTCGAATAGTCGAAGAACTTTGAGTGTTTGTTAACGTTTTGCTTTCTAGCAAAAGTGAAGCTGAGAACAGCGTAGATATGAATGAAACTTTAAATCATAGTTTCCTTTTCCACCGGAGGTCGAAGCAGAGGCAAATTTTTTATTCCAAGGTGTGGCTCCTCTTAGTACATTAACCAATAGACCAACAAGTTCTCATATCTCAAGACGAAACAGAAGGCTTTTCATGTAATATTTCTTTCTGTTAATCGTAATTGACGTCAGTTCAGGTATTAGACCAAATTGACAGAAGAAAGATAAAGTCGAATTGATGGAAATCACCTGCCGGTAGCGTTACTTATTGGGCTTTGGTTCATTCAAGCTTAGACGTTTTGTTGTTCAGAGATAATCACGTAGCGAAAAATGACAGAGGTTTTATGGGTTTTTCTATTTTCTTCAAAAATTTTGATGGACAGTTTTCTTGCAATAGTACTAGTCTGTTCCATGGGAATGAAATTGTTCTCATATTTTTATTAGGCGATTGATTAAATCAAAATAGTGGAACATATTTTTGATAGAAGTATTTATTAGTGTTTGAATTTATTAAATTATTAGACGCGAGTCGATTAGTCTCGCAGATTTTGAGTATTCATTGGGTTCAACGGATCGATAGTAAAATCATTTATTTCAACTAGGTTTTATTCAGATTTCCCTTTGAAGTAGGAATAAAGGCTGACATTAAAAGTATGTTCGTTACTGTTCATTGGTCAGGAATATACGTTAATTAATGCCATGCTGAGGAGTTGGGGAAATCCACTTGTGCTGTTAAGAAGGAAAATTTCCAACCACAGCAAATTCTTGAATTAACACGTGAATTGGATTTGCATAAATACCTTTGGATTTTCAGTCAGAGGGCGTTACTACTCAGACAAACGTGATATGAAACCGAAAAAACCAAAAAAACAAAAATCAGCCACTGATCACGTTAATGTGAGTGCCTAAGTCAAGTGTCTCTTGAAGTTGAATTTTCGCGCGAAAGTAACAACCAATCGGGCGCTGTAAGGATCTCTGTAGAGATTTGCCTTCAATTTTGGAGGGAATGGGAGACCAAGGAAAACTAAACTCATCTGTTTTTGAGGGGAGGGGAAACGCGGGAAAACTAGCCTCATCCGTTTTTTGGGGTAGGAGAGACGCAGGCAAACTAAACTCATCAGTTTTTGAGGGGAAGGGGAACGCGAGAAACTAATCTCAGTTTTTGAGGGGAGGGGAAACGTGTGAAAACTAAACTCATCAGTTTTTCAGGGAAGAGGAGACGTCAGAAAACTAAACTGATCTGTTTTTGAGTGGAAGGGGAAACGCGGGAGAAATAAACTTGTTTATGTTGGTGAGGGCATCTTTAATTCTTTACTCGTTCTTCTTCGATGTTTATGATTAGAAGCAAGCCGTTTATACTCTCAGAAAGTACGGAATGACATGAGAAATAATGATACTGCATGGCAGCATATGTTGGTCCTTTTTGAGAAAGTGAGCAATGTGACCAAAGGGAAAATTAATCGTGGTTCATGGCCAATTGAACGTTTGCATATATTTCAATTTAGTTTATCTCTTTACAAACAAAACAAACGCACAGCCAAACAAACACAACAAACAAACAAAAAAGAACCAAACAAAGCGATATAAAAATTTAAACAAAGCGCGACTTACTACATGCGTCTCTGTTTAGGGAGAAAATGTCAAAAGAGAATCTTATTTGAAGTCCCCTGTATAAATCATCTCGTGACCAGGCCCTCGTTACAAGCGTTTCGGCACGTGCATTTCTTCGGCCGCTCGAAAATATAAGCACTTAAAGCCCTTGAGCAACGCGCGCCGGTGAGAGGTCTGTAAGGCACTAATTATTTGTGCCAGACCCCCGGAAAACCCTTTCCAACTGGTCTCAAATCTTCCCGGCGGGCGGAGAAACGCACGTTCTGGAGCGCTTATAATGAGGGCATGCTTGCACACTTCTTTTTATTCCGCTCCAACAATCATCAAGCCCGTCGAGAGTGATCTGATCTACGATTACTATCTAACGCTTTTGTATGAGCCACTTGATGAGTTCGTTCAGTGACTGAGGAGAGTCATAGTGGCCAGAATCTTAGAACGATCGCTCCACAAAAACTCCTTGACTTTTGTGTTGTGTTAAGGTTAAAATTTGGCGTTACTTAATGAAGCGTCCTTAAAAGCTGGTATCTTTTCCAACAGGAAAGCTCTGAAAAAGAAAAAAAAAGTACTTTAGAAAGGTTCCCCAAAGAGGGTAAGATCTTAAAATAATCTCATTCATGTCATGAATTTAACTCAGTCGGACACCATAGTCGGCTTCGATATTCATTCTCCATCGAAACACCTAACACTTAAGTAACAAGTTTATAATGTACTCCTATTAATGACCCGTCCCTAGGCAATTCATGAAATACCAGTCACATTGTTCCAAAGAGACCAATGGCCCGTTTCCTGAAAGCTTCGGTAGTTTGCTGCCGCAAGGAGCTGTTTTTTTTCGCTTACTTTAACTTTTTCAATCTTTACCATATTAACATTTAAAATCGTGATATTATTGGTTTAAAAGTAAGGCATGGAAAATATCAGGAAACGAAACAAAATAGGTTGGTTTAAAGCTGAGATCCGTTCTATTATTCGTTGAGTGTTTCCTTTCTCCGTGAATGAGACCTCAGTCCTTTCTGGGCATATCACACTATCTGTTCATTTGAACAGTATGTAAGTAAAGGAGACAAGAATACCTAGCTCTTTCCGCCATCTCGTCCCCAGACCACCGTGGACTGTAGGGGTAACCCGCTTCCAGTTTTTCGTACGGCTGGTTATTTTTTTCGTGGTAAATCGACTGGAGGTAAAATAGTGGCGCTTCTTGGGGAAAGTTCTTGTCTAATTCAACTGAAAAGAAAAATGAAGCGAGTGGCGATAATATTTAATCCTCACTCACTCCATACATCACTCAATCAAAATGCACCCTTTGGCCAATTCCCATTGTAAGTGCCGGACTGATTTCTATTCAGTATGTCTCACTTCTTTGTGTCAAAATGGAAGATGTGTCGTTAATTTCGATTTTATACTTGTACCAGAAATAGCACTTACTGTGAACAATACAAAAAAATCCTTGTACTTTGAACAGCAAGGAGAGCTTCATGAATCCCTCAGCATCATACTCAAGCACTGAACTATCAAAAAAAATAAAATTGTCTCTAGATTATAACATGCTACCCTTTGTTTTATTCTGAAGCATCTCAGTGAGCCAGAATCCTGATCATGAGCCCATAAGTAATCTAATTTTTTCCACCACAGACCATGGTCCAGAATTTGTACATACCATTTGCGGCAATACAGGGAAAATGCAAGCCAGTAGAAAAATTAAATTAGTAGGGGGTAGATTAGTCCATATGGAAGAAAAACTGTTCCCCTGGTCTTGAGGGTAACCCTTAGCCTTTAACTGTAATCAAGAGGACAGGCACAGTTTTTTCCCATAAAGACCTCCTGTCTGGTAAATAACATAATTATATATACAACCTCAAAAGTCATATCCTATTTACAAGACTTACTCTAAAGTAAGCTACATTTGGCAAATGATTTGACTGGATTGTAAACTATGCCTTACCTTCCAAATGCACTAAGGAAAGCTGCAACATATTCCCTTCTTTTGTGGAATGCCTGACAAACTTGCTCCACCTTTCAAAATGTAGTTATATATTAACACCCTAACATCAGTATGCATATTCTCCATACTGTTCTCTATACATTTCCTAAGGTGCTGACAAGGAGAATTTGTTTAAACATCAGGAGTGTCTTTAGTTGGTGATCATCTTGATGTTAGATTCAGGGGTTATACTGTGAGGAGAGATTAGATATTAGTCACTCTTAGGGGTTAACATGTTCTAACAGTAACCTCAGAGACTAATCAAGCAATTAAAAAGTAAACTCATCCTCCTGAGTGATGCAAATATTAATAATAGGTGAGGAAAATTTTTGGCTAACTTTGAGGTTTTCACAGTTTAAGTTTTTCCTTTGCTCATTATTCTGTCAGCTCACAGTTACTTCACCTCAGACTTGGAGGGTATATAGCATGTCACAAAATATTGCATTGACTTCCCTTGTCCACTTTTTTGATTGCATTTTGTTTTTGTTTTTTTATTGTTTATAATTTAACCCTTTAACCCCTTAGAGTGACTAATATCTAATTTCTCCTCACAACATCTCCCCTGAATCAAACATTTAAGTCATGAGAATAAAGGAGATGATCACCAACTAAGGAACCTCTTGATTGATGAACAAATTCTCCATGTCAGAACCCTAAGAAATGTAAGGAGTGTTATGGAGAATATCCATACTGATGTTAAGGAGTAAAGGGTTAAGGCCATAACACTGTGACCTTGAGAAAGTCTGAGCTTAGAGCCCTGAGAGGTAACTTTTGATACCACTTTCAACCTCACCTTTTGTGCAAAGAGTTCCTGGATAAGAGGTAGGTATTCCAGAAGGCAGCCATTCACCCCCAACCAATGAGGAATACGAAGATTGCTGGTCCCACCAAATGCTCTGTAAAATAAGTATGAGTTTGAATGGATTGACTGTAAAAGTATAATATCCAAAAAATAAATACAAATTTCATCTGCTATGAAATGTATTACACATAAAACTGATGATTTTACTACGCTGACGATTCCATGGAGTGAATTTACTTTTAAAAACTTGCCTTTAGATTTACTAAATATATGACTACAGCAGCCTGAACCTTTTTACACATATGTATTCCAAGTAATTAATGAAGATGCATATTAAAGTTTGTTATATCTTTCATATTTAGTGGCCATTTCTGCGCAAATACCTCACCTTTCTACGCGGGGTGATAACAAAAGTGTTGGTGTAACATTCTCTCCATTAAGAGATGCATAAGAAACAAACAAGCATGCTATGTCTTCACCTGGACAGTCCTGACAAACAAAGAATTAAATATGGATCATCACAATGATCAGAAAAACATTTTTCATATCATAAGTTATTATGGTAAATTTCAATTTTTGTGACATAAGCAAAATTATTAAAGATATCACACCAGTACTTAGTCTAATAGTTGTTTTTCAGCTCTGTTTCTCAGGAATCAAAAATAAAACACAACAATCTTACCCTTATAATAAATTGCGGGACTCCAGTGAGATCAACTGGCAGCTTTATCATAAAATTGACAACAGAGTCTGTCTTCTGAGAAAAGAAACAAATCATCAGAACCCAGTTGCATTTTAACAAGTATTATGATCATTTTCAAATGTGATTTTAGTCAATTACCATTTTAACCTGTTATCAAAATTAATCTGTATAGTTTGTGACCCATTCCACTTCTCGTTGCTAGGGAGCTCTTGTTCAAAGGTGTGACTTTCTGTAGCTTGCATACACAAACCTTCACCTCACCTGTTGCCCTTTTAAAACATGTACTTCGAATTCAGGATAATTGGCGTCAGCTGCAAGTGTGGTGTATTCAAAGTGGATTCTGGGGATTTTCTCCACTTGTTCTCTTTGATGTTCTTTGTATTCCCTGATCAGTTCTTTTATCAGATTTACTAAGCTTTCAGGATTATTACAGTTCCAGTTCTCAAGAGACTACGGAGTAAAAATGATTCAAAAAAAGCATACTTTTAGAGAGTAGTAACAAGGTCAACCAGTCTGTCTTGATTTCCAATTTCTTGCCTCGTCAGTCTTCAGAAACCATTGAGAAGGCAAGCTAGCCCCATTACCGAGACCTGACTCAGGCATTATGACTGAGATCTTGATAACCATGTTTTCAAAATGAACACTCCAGCCTTGCCTTATCAATGGTACCACCTTCACCTTGGAAGCCAGATTAAAACATCATGCATCCTCAGAAATCGCAGTTGGCAAATGAAAGTAGCATTTGTCATTTTAATAAGAGACATAATTTAGTATGGCTATCAAAGTCTGTACTCAAGCCATGTTGGCCATTCAGCTGGACCTTATCTAGGTTTCCTTGGCATAGAGCAACTAGGAGTCTTACTACCCACCCTCCCCACCCCCAATGGGATGCCAGTCTATCCCAAGATTACCCCCCAAGCACTTCATCAGGCAACCTTGACATATTGCCACTACCCATTTATACTCCTGGGTGGAAAGAAGCACTGTGAGAAAAAAGTGTTTTTCCCAAGAACACAACACAATGACTCAGCCAGGTCTGGCACCCAGACTTTTTGACCCCAAGTCCAGCCACTCACTTAACCCTAAGCATTAAGTAGCTGCAGCTCCCAGTTGGATGTAAAAATTGCTTATTTGATGGGAAGTGCCAATTTGAGAATTTCTGATTTTTCACCTTGCCCATACCTCCATTTTATCAATATTTGGTACAAATTCCTGATCTTGTGGTCCAAATATAAAATCTGGTGGAAAATCTGGTTGCATCTGGTTAAATATTACCTCCCCTGCAAAAAATAAACAACAACAATAAAACAAACAGGTAAATATAAAAAATCAAATCGAAAGGCAACTCATACACGGAGTTTATGACACATTCAGTCAAAATGTATTCAATTCCTAGGAAATAAAAAAGCAATTAAAACATGATTAAATGACTAAAACAGTGCACACCTAAGTTGCTGTTTACTTACATTTTAGAGTTCTACCAGCATATGGAACCAAAACCTTGAATCGATCGCAGGATCTTGTTTTAATACGAGGGTTAATGAAAGACAAACTATCGAACACAAACAAGACAGAAAAAATGATGAAGTCCAATAACAATTACAGCTTTAGATTGGGATTGAAAATACTTCTTAAAAACACTGCTACGTAGTTAACCAATAAGAACCATGACTAACCCTGAATTTCATGGGTGAAATTCGTCAAAATGTTGCTTGACGTAAATTGAAAATCTAATCGAGTACCTTGACTTGGGCTCCACAATCTTCAGCAGTTCACCGCAAACTCCAATACCTTCATTATTAAGCACGGCTTCGGCAAATTTTGCAATTTCGGGATGGATACGTTGCAGGACATCGGCCGCCATAGCAAAGGAAAAATAATTCAGGACATTTTAGCGTTCCTTCATTTCCGCCTCAAAAGCAAGATGACAAAGTTGTGAGATGTTCTTACATGAATGTACTCCAGGATAAAGAGAAACCGCTGAAAACTCCGTCAAATTTCTCTCTCAATAAAGCGATCATGGAGAAATTATCAAGATATTTTAGTCCTCCAAATACTGTGAAAGGAATGAAGATTTTGGATAGAGAGGCTTTGAGAACTACCATCACCCTTCCAGCTCTTCGAATCGGTGCCAAAAAGTGTTCACTCTTTTTAAAACGTCTAAACAAATGCCTTTTGAACCAACCTCGTATGAGAAACATTGTCCCAGATGTGAGTGAAACAAGTAGAAAGATTCTCCTTCTACATCCAATGAATTCGTTGAAAACCTTGGGAGAAGAGGATCGAGAATTCGCTCAAAATCAGGGAGCAGAAGAAACGACTTACGATTTGGTACTTGGCTACGAACATTGGACATCAGAGCAAGTTTTAAGAGCCATATTACCGGATGAGATTGATGAAATACCTTCATCCTTCGAGACAATCGGTCACATAGCACACTTGAATTTACGAGATTCGCAATTAGAGTTCAAATCACTAATCGGTAGGTGATGATCATCTTTTTTTTTCTTCATGTATGCATTTTTTTGGAGGAGAGGGATTTTACGAATGATGCATCTCTCCATGAATGTCGAGCTTGTGGTAGGTATTCATAGACCTTGCAATCTTCCCATATGAATTTTCACAGAACTAACCAAGTATTCACCCCTATCACCCATTCCAACCTGACATATGAAAATGTATTTGCTGGCATTAGTGAGATTTTCGACCGCTCAGTCTTTGATTGTGGTACTGCAGCATGCCCTTCCTTTGCGAGGGGGAGGATTATGGGGTATGCTACCCAGAGAATTGTGAAAAAATGAAGTATCTTTGTGTTTATATTGAAGTATTACAGTCCTTTATTCTGAGTGAAAATTGCTACTGTTGGAAAGTGTTGGGTGCAAGTGCAAAGGGAACAAAGATTAAATTATATCTAGAAGGTAAATTAATTTTAGTGGTACTTAACCCTTTGACTCCCAGAAGTGATAAGGGTGTAACTTCTCCATAAATAATTCCATACACTATCTAATAACAGGTAATGAGAAAACTCAAACTTATCAGGTAGAAGTTATATTGATCTAATACCAATTCTTTTTAGTGTTTGATCAAGATATTATATTGTACCTGATAAGTTTGAGTATTCTCATTACCTGTTTGCTGGATAATTTATGGATACTTAAGGGAGAAGTTACATGTTAATCACTTCTAGGAGTTAAAGGGTTAAAGGGTTTGCTAAATAGTAATTTCCCATCTCAAACTCAACAGTTTAATCGGAAAACCTGAAATGTTTGAGAAAGAGTAGCTTCAGCATTAAAGTGTAAGATTGATTTCATTAGTGTGAGTCTTGTGCTCAATGTGTGAGACTTGAGAGCTCTGCATCTTTTAATTGATAGTTCATATTGGTTTTCTCTTTATTTTTGACAGGGCAAGTGATATTAGACAAGAACTCCCCTCAGATCAAAACTATTGTGAACAAAACAAACACCATCCATGATATTTTCCGCTTCTTCAAGATGGAAGTGTTAGCTGGGGAGAGCAACTTCTATACCTCTGTGAAACAAGATGGCTGTATTTTTGAGTTTGACTTTTCCAAAGTTTATTGGAATTCTCGCCTTCAAACAGAGCACAGGCGTCTTGTTGAATCATTTGATTCAGGTGATGTTGTGTGTGACATGTTTGCAGGAGTTGGTCCATTTGCTATTCCTGCGGCAAAGAAAGGATGCATTATTTATGCCAATGACTTGAATCCTGCATCTTATGAGGCTTTATTAAAAAATGCAAAAATCAATCATGTGAAGGATAAAATTCATGCTTTTAATTTGGATGGGAGGGACTTTGTGAGAAAAATGGTTCAGCTGTCTTCATCATCATCATTATTAGAATCGTCAATCACTAATCAAAGCATTCAAGGAAGTTACAGCAGACCCTTTACACATGTTGTCATGAATCTACCTGCTAGTGCAGTTGAGTTTCTTGATGTTTTCCATGGTCTCTACACTTCACACAAACAATTAGTGCTCCCAATGATTCATTGTTATTGCTTCTCCAAGTCCCAGTCTCCAGGAGATGATGCCAAGCAGCAAGTGGAAAAGAATTTGGGAATTAGCCTTGTGAGTGAATACAGTGTTCACTGTGTACGTGATGTTGCACCGAAAAAGGCTATGGTTTGTGTGTCATTCAAGTTACCAGAATCTGTTGCATTTGCTGATATTGAAAGAAGAGGTGTTGAATTGAAACGAGAAAGAGAAGACCATAGTAAGTTCCATAAAAATATTTAGAGTCCGATATACAGATATGTAGGGAAAGGAAAACTTAAAATCTGTTGCCACAGGCTTCTGCCCTGTAAGTGTCCTGTAACTGGAATTTCTATGCTAGTGAACTTCACAGGAAAACAAGCAACTCTGCAATTGGTTTATGTCACCGACAAGGAGTATTGAACTAAAAGTCATGAGCTGTTTAAGTTTTTGATCATTTCTTTAATTCTCATGAGCGTAATGTTTTTGATTTAGCAGTGATACCTTTGGGAGAAATTAGATGCAAGTTACCTTCAGGGGTTGAAGGGTTAAGCCTTTCTCAATTTCCCCCCTTTCCTCCCCTCCCATGGCAAACATGCTGTACAGTGAGACCTGCATTTGTTACTTTTTGGAACTGTTGTGATAGCTTTAATTCTTGTTTGTTTATTTTTAGATCATGATGGTCAAAGAACAAAAGAAGCCAAGCTAGACATCAAGTGCTAATGGTGTTGGTGAATTAGTTGTTCCCTAATTGGCCAGGTAGAGTTCATGTAACCAACTACATCCAGTGATTGTTGATTTATGCACTTTGTTGTAAAAATTCATTTGTTCTTTTATCATCTGGTATTAAATGTTGTCTTGAAACCATAGTATGACCTGAGACTCGGTAACCTTGTTTGAAATAATATTGTACTAACGTTTGAAACTGATTCTTTTTGGCTTAAGGCATTCTTTTTTATTTAAGGCATTTTGTCTTTCTTTGCCACAAATGTTGCCCTTCCAGTGTCTGATATTTCTTGTTTTCTGTGGTATTTTCAAAGCAAAATTACTTTCTGGGAAATTCACATCTCTGTCACTGGTAGCCTGTTCCAGACTCTCAGCCAGTGGGGATGAGGGAAACAGATGATGAGCAAATAATGCTTGGAAGTTGTCATGGGAAATGATGAGGACATGAGACCTTCCCATCATTTCATGCAAAACCGCTTTTTGTTTTTGCCTTCACTGCCAGGAAACCTGTCACAATCTACTTTCCTGGTCACTGTTAACCCTAAACGCCTAGGCCGAAAGATGAAAAAACGACTGCAGAGGCAATTGAAGGGGGAGGGGTGGGACGAGTTATTCGCCTATTGTGTTCTCCCTTTGGATTTGTAACCAAGATCGCGTGCGTAGTCGACTTTTTGCACGTGCTGTCACGTGCCTAGCAGAACCGGGCGATGGATAGGTGTGTACCGAAGTATTTCCAAAACTGGCCAGCATTGTGACTCCACCATTCGTACGGCTTCAATACTGAATTGATTTCTCCAAGCGTCTATCAACAGAGACGCATTTTTCCTAAGTGTTCCATACGCGTGATTGGCCCCACTGTTACGTGATTGTGTACCACTGTTTAGATAGTTCATGACTTGATCCGACATTGGAATGCCGGTAAAATCAAATAGTCCTTGAGAAACATTTAATGGTAATTTTACCAGATCCTCGTATCTGACAAGTTTATAGCGATCTGGGAATTTACTCTCAGCCAGCAGAGCCAATCGCAGCGTTCTTATCGAATTAGAACAGAACTTTTGCACAAGATTGGCAAAATGAGAAAAGTTTGTCGTAGCCATTTTCACTGCTGAAGTTTCCAAACCCCAGCCGACACGATCCATAGAAGCGATGACAGCTCTTGGATCTCGCATCAGGTGAATGATTTTTAAATTATCTCGATCGCGAGCCAATAAACGTTGAAGACGATCAACGTCTAGAAATGGCAATCTATGAGCGAGAACTTTCACTACTGTGTGGCTGTGAAGCGAGCAGGACAAAGAAGTTATGAGGGGATCTAAGTCTTTGCAATAAATAATAGTTCGATTATCCTTCGCGTTGGTTATGTTTTTACAATAGGGCGAGGTAAAGGCGTGGCTTGAAAAGCGATTGAGCTGCATATGCGACATGAAAGATAAAAACTCTGTTTGCTGCTTAAATCTGCAGTTGAAAATGTCGCGTAGGAGGCCCAGTGCCGTCTGTTCGTAGAGTGAAGAGTTACGCACCGATGTCACTTGAAATGTTATCAAAGGTTCATAGATATAAAAGACCTGCGGGTGATGATTGAAAATTTGCCCAAGATACGATGATCCTGATCTTGCATTTGAAATAATCAAAATGTTTGTCTTTCCCTTTCTAGTTTCTGTTGGGGGTTGAAAAGCAACCAGGCCAGAATACTTACAAAGGGCCCTCATGGCGATGCATGCTGTGATACCTAAGGCAATGAGGCCCAAAATTCCAGGGACTCTTCGAGGTTTTGCCATGCAAAGAGAGTGTCAAGGGTGATCCAGAATCAGTCTCGTCAAATGCCTCTCTAAATAGCAAAAGAAAAGGCAGACAGTATGAATAAGAAAATGGAAATTTATGTCTAGGTCTTAGAGCTATTTTCAGCTGAATTCATAATTAATCAATATTTCCGGCCTAATTATGTGGGATGCCACAGGCAGACCACGACAAAAATTCGGTTGAGTTTCGTCGTCGTCGAAGTCTCCTATGGTAATCAGCTACGTGCTTGCGCTTCTAACTAAAGTGAAGCACTGTTGGCAGAGGTCACTAAATGAATGGGTGACAGCGTACAATATCTGGTTTTGTGGTCTTTTTTTCTTGTGTTCATTCGATTTCACTCCTATACTTTGATAAGTGGATTTTGCGCTGGAATCACGGAACAGTGCAGGTAGCTGATCGTCCATAATTCTTGCTCTAAAGTAAGGCACATCTTGCACAATCGTAAACTGATTTAACCTCCTCTCACTTGTTATGAGAAAAGCTTGCGTGACCGTGGCCAAAAGAAGGGCGGCTTAAAAGGCTGGTACTGAGTGAACATGAAATTTATTATTTTCACGTATAACAGGGGGGAATGAAGGTAAGACTAACAAATCCCACGTTAGCGCCTCCTGGCGTTTTGTTTCACTATCTTTTTGGCGCCGTTGTTTTAGGAAAATTTATACGAGCTACTTCAATCAGAATTATTCAGAACTTAGAACAGTTTTCGATTGGGTGTCGAAAAATCGAAACCAAACTAATCTCAACAACCAATCACAACACACGTAGACATCATCATTAACCGATGAGAACTCAAAGTAAACAAAGGCAACCTGCTTGAAGCGCGGGAAAACGCGAGTGACCAAGTTGGGATTGGTCACAGTTTTGGATTTGATTGGTTGAGATAATGGCGCGAGTTTTCTGGACCAATCATAGAGCGAAGTAAAGCAAAACCAAAACACTCCAGGATCATTTTTGATACTCAATTGAAAATCGCGCAAAGAGAATCTCAATGGGGTTAGCCGTTAGCCGTAAAACAGCAAAAAAAAATTAGCCGCTAGGCAAAGAAATTGAAAAACTTTAACCGTTTGTAGTAAAAAGGGTTAACCTTAACAATTTATTCTTCTAATCACAAAGAAAAGAAATTAACCTTTAGCTGTAAATTGGCCAAAATTTTAACCTTTAGCCGTAAAAGCCATCACCTCATTGAAACCCTTCTCTAATTACTTTGATAGACCATTCCCTTCGCAAATTAACGAGCGAACCAACGAACAAACATACCAATAAACATGAAACTAAAACGAACTAAAATGAAGATCCCGCAATAGTGGTGAACCCCTGAGGAAACCTTGTTGTAAATTATCACAAGGAATAGTAACCTGCTAACCGATTAATTTGCGCTTAATTTAGGCCTGTTCGAACGTGCTTGAGATGACGAGCCCCCTGCTGAGATGTTGGATAGAAGATTTAGATTAAAATAGAGAAAGTAAGTACGTTTCTCTATAAAGAACAGATGATGTTGAGCATGAGCTCAACGTCGCATTTTTAGGAAACGCTTCCGCGTTAATCACCAAGATACAATATAATTTATGAAGTCATAAAACTAAACCACCCGCACCAGAAACAAATTCTGCCATAGAAGCAATGCAGTACTTCCAAGAAACACGTTTTCAAGCTGAATCCTGACAGTAACGAAGCTTTCACCGACCCCTAAACCTGCCTAAAGGGAGCGTAGAAATATCTCCTCATCTTGAACTTTCGCAAAAAAACATCCGCGTAAATGTTTTAAGATTCTTGGAGGATGACACAAACTGACAGTGCTTATATCAATGTTTATGCTTCTGATATCCTTTCTAGTTCCTTCCCTTCTTCGAATGGCAAACGACGAGAATTTTAAATTTCAAGATGTGCACGTATGTGTTGAGCTTAGTAAGATGTATTGCATTTGATAATATCTTCCAAGTTATAAAAAGTACCTTTTAAATTTATTTACTCTGAAAGTTTAGCCGGCAAATACTTCTTTTAAAATATTATGAAAAGGAAATCAAAGGCACCGCAAAGTTGATAACTTAGATTTTGCGCAATGAATGAATTCCAGCCTACTTACAGATTTCATGAGCTTGCTTGTCAACAGTAATGTAGGTGAATTCGTGGGGAGTGACCCGTTTCAATTGATGGATTTCCCTGCAATTGTTGAGATTAAAAATTGCGCCCAGCTTGTTGACCTGTGCGGTATTTGTGAACAAGAACGGGTGGCACGCCACCTGTACTCTGAAGGATCACATAAAGTGATTTCCGACTGGTATTCACACTTCGCTTAAATTATTACTGACGCGATCGACCCTCCACAGTGCTGGAGTGTTAATCATGCTGTTAGGAATGGGGAGGGAGGAGGGGGGGAGAGAGAGTGGCAAGGGGAGACGGAGAGCCCGGGTAAGAACTGGCAAACGCGTTGGCACCAATATGCGTGGTTTCGAATAGTTTTATATGACACAGCAATTTTAATTGTGTTCGTGTGTGTGCGCTGCTTTTTAATTTGAAAAAAAAAAGACTTGGTATAACATCGCCCGAAGGTGAAAAAAATCTTACTCAAGAAGGTTTGCAATCGCATGAAATCGTGATCAGATTTTCAAAATTTTCCGAGGTAGGAGGCCTCTATCACTTCTCTGGCCTACATTACCACACCACAATCCCTGCTGCCACTAAGACACCTCACTTCTACACTCGCACTACCGACCTGTTATTATTGGTGGTAGTATAGCTCGTTTGCCTTATTATGACCACCATGAAAGTGAGGCTGTAAGAAATTTTTAGATTTCACGCAAACAATAGTCACACATGACGAAAAAAAAGTCCTGTGTGCATGTGGTAAGTATTTTTAGGCGGGAACGGACTAACCAACATGAAAGCGAGGCTCTAAGAAATCTTTTTTTGGGTATGTCACGCAAACAATAGTCACACATGAAGAAAAAAAAGTCCTGTGTGCATGTGGTAAGTATTTTTAGGCGGAAACTGACTAACCACCATGAAAGTGAGGCTGTAAGATATGTTTGGATGTCACGCAAACAATAGTCACACATGAAGAAGAAAAAAGTCCTGTGTGCACGTGGTAAGTATTTTTAGGCGGGAACTGACTAACCGACATGAAAACGAGGCTCTAAGAAGTTTTTTTGGTATGTAACGCAAACAATAGTCACACATGAAGAAAAAAGGTCCTGTGTGCATGTGGTAAGTATTTTTAGGCGGGAACTGACTAGGGGCCATGAAAGCGAGGCTCTAGCTGTCTCACAAATACGAATAATTTCAAGTGGTTCTTCTTCAAGAGGTGACGATTCATACACATTAATCAATAAGTGTAAGGATGTAAATGTCATGGAAAGTGCCTGCCACATGTCTTTGGTCAAATAAAGAATATTAGGAGGTACTTTTATCTTGACATTCCAGGTGTGCCATGGCAACCATATGTCTCGATGAAGGAATACATAGCATCTTGGACAATATTTATCATAGCTTTCACCATCAGTCTAAAAAAGGATAAAGTAATTTTACAATTTGTGATAAGTGTTCATTGATTCGGCGGCTTTGGCTTTATCTCCTCCTCTTTCAGGGTCATATATTTCGTGTAACGCTTGATAAAAGATACGCATTCCTGACATTTCTCGCTTCTTCAATTCTTGAAGGATATTTTCATATCTTTCCATCTCTTCTTCTTTCTTAATATTTTCATACCTTTCAAGTTCTTCTTTGGTGACAACTTTTCCCCCACAAATTGGCTGTTGCTGCTTCTTCTTCTTGCTTCACTCTCTCTTGACTACTCATCTTGACTTACTGATAAAAACACTAAGCAACCCATCTCTTCTTATAATCAAATTTTCCCGCCAACATGCATTTACCCCAACAGACATCTGTCACAAAAACGCCACCATTGGAACAAATTGCAATTCCTCTGAGTACATCTCAAATACATCGTTCCATAATCCTTGTCTGACTCGGACATGGACAATGTGGGAGTCAGTCCACCTTCACACACCATACGACTAATGGTATTCAGGGTGAACCAGCTGTACCCTTGTTCTCTGCATCCATAATAATAATAATTGTAATCTTTTGCTGCCTGTTTCGCTGCTGCTTTCTCACACTTATACGGATGAGCTCTTGAACTCGTTGTCTCAGCACTCTTTTTCTTTATGTCTTCCATTTTTTCTTCTTCTTCTGCTTTGCTTCTCTTCTTGAGATCTGTGTGAATTAAAAACGGATTGAGAACACCGTCTCTTATAGCAAACGAATGGGCGGAATCATATCCCTTATTTAGAATTCATCTGACATAATCTCCTGTCGACATGTTTACCTCAACAGACAGCTGTCATCTCTCTCCCGCAGGGATGGTTCTATCCACACAGGGACAGAAAACTTTCTCACTCAAATTCTATTTGGGTTCTATTATCGCCACGCCGGAGGAAAAACTATTTTTAAGCGTGTCACACCAGGTATTGTCGACCGATAGTTGACCGATAGTCGACCGATAATCGACCGATATATCGACCGACTGTCGGCCGATGCATCAGCCGATATGTGCACATTTATCGGTCGACTGTCGGCCGATATATCGGTCGACAAGTTTTAAACTTGACATAGCCACGAAATCAATACTCGAGAACCTACGCTGGACGCCTCTTACAAGAACTATGGAAAAGCACTGTGCATTGTTAGTTAACAAGTGCTTGGTTGGGAGAAGTTCCTTCATACTTTAAAGACTATTTCATGTTACGCAGCCAGAGCGACAACCAACATAGATGTACTAGATCGCCAATCACTGACATTATTCTTCCTAAGTTTCATCTAGATGTCGCTAAAAAGTCTTTTTACTATCATGGTGCAATGACATTCAATAGTCTTCCAATGAACATTAAGACTTTACCACCTAAGGAACGTTTCCCGGCTATCTCCGCTTTTTATTCTGAGGCTATTTTTAGAACATTCTGAAATCGAACATTGTTACTTTTTATATCAGTTGGTTCTTAGGGAAGGTACGTTTTTTCTTGGGGGGGAGGGCTGGGGAATTTTGGTATTTTTTCCAAAAGAAAGTGTTGGCCCTCCCTCATGTTTTGATTAAAAAACTCCTGACCCCCCCCACTTTTAGGTGACTGACAAAAGTGTGACCCTCCCCTCACTACCACATGGTATGCTCCATGCCATAGAAACCTCAGAACATTTTTCGACATTTTGCTTGTATTTTGCCTGGGAGCTACTACAAAAGGCTAAACAACGAGTTGAAAGAATTTTCCCTCGCCGAGGAAATGCCCTCAAAAGAAAGTCGAGAAAGCAGAAGCAGAATCGCCGTAAAGCCGATAAACGCAAATGCCAACGCTACGCAGAAATGAAAAGTCAATTAAAACAAGAATTTTAAACGTCGATGAAGAAACTCTGAATGACGAAGACTATGTAATAGATCATGGAGATTTGGAGATGAGGGTTGTGAAGGCTCATATTGGCAGTAAGATTTTGACTTCAATTGTGCAGGAAAAACAGACAAACATTCCGCTAGCCTCTGACTCAAATCCAGAGTCTGACAGTGACAGTGACAGCGACAGGGTAGAGGGCATCATCTTCTAGTCACTCTTCAGAGCTTAATGACTCAGGAGATCAGGCAGCGGATCGACAACAGCTGGAGCAAGAAACCATACCCGAGTCAAGTACGTCACGATACGGACGGAAAAGGACACGTGCCATGGAGTAATATACATGTAGACACCCAGTAACCTTGTAAAACTAGTACCTGCACCGAATTAAAAGAAACAAGTTGAAAAGAAAAAACTTAGTCTGTTAAAGAAAAATGTAAAATAACATCACAAAAATCCCCATTAAAAATTCTGGAAAAGGTGTGACCCTCCCCTTGAATAGCTGAAAAAGAGGGTATGGCCCTCCCCCCTTGGTGCTCACTTTCACTGATGACCCTCCCCTGAGGCCCCAGCCCTTCCCCCCCTCCAAGAAAAAACGCACCTTCCCTTATTGATATGTGTATTTATATAATTTATTTTACTCTCTTTTATTTTGTTATAGAGGGCCCCCGTTGATACCAGTCTTGTGACTGAAGGGGTCACCCTGTTTAAATATCAATTATTATTATTATTATCCCAGTTGTCCGATCAAATCATTGACATCTTTCATCGGATTCTTCCAATTGAGATAAGCACTGATGACATCTTCAAAATCATGCCCACACGCATGTATCTTTTTTCATATCTCAATAAAGTTAAACCCATGTTTAAACAGATACAGCTGCATGTGAGCGCCCACAGGTGTCGGATACTGACGGATGTCTGTACATGTAAACAGTTAGTTGTCGTATGCTTGTCTCCTGTTTCTTTCGAGAACATGTTACCATCGGGGCGAATATTTCACAACGGTCAACGCTTCCAGTTGTCCGATCAAATCAGTGACATCTTTTATCGGATTCGCCCAATTGAGATAAGCACTGATGACATCTTCGAAATCGTGCCCATGCGCTCGGATCTTTTTTCCTATCTCAATAAAGTTAAACACGCGTGTAAACAGATACAGCTGCAGATTTACATTTTGGACACCACATCATAGACAAGACAGATTCAGTGGTGTAACGACAATGACTGCATTGAAACGTCTTGGAAGAACCCATTAAAAATTTTGAGTGATGGTTAGGCATTTCAGACGTATAACGTGTTTTCACGTTTTTTCTTCATGTGTGACACTATTTTTGTGACATCTTTAAAAATTTCTTAGAGCCTCGCTTTCAACAACTAGTCAGTTCCCGCCAAAAAATACTTACCACATGCACACAGGACTTTTTTCTTCATGTTTTACTATTGTTTGCGCGACATACCCTCAAAAAATTTCTTAGAGCCTCGCTTTCATGTCGGTTTGTCGTTCCCGCCTTAAAATACCCACCACATGCACACAGGACCTTTTTTCTTCATGTGTGACTATTGTTTGCGTGCCACACCCTGAAAATTTCTAGAGCCTTGCTTTCATGTCGGTTGGTTACTTCCCGCCTAAACATACCTACCACATGCACACAGGACATGTGTGACTATAGTTTGTGTGACATCCAAAAATATCTTACAGCCTCACTTTCATGGTGGTTAGTCGGTTCCCGCCTAAAAACACTTACCACATACACACAGGACTTTTTTTCCTTCATTTGTGTCTATTGTTTGCGTGACATACCCAAAAAATTTCTTAAAACCTCGCTTTCATGTCGGTTAGTCAGTTCCCGCCTAAAAATACTTAGCACAGGCAAACAGGGCCTTTTTTCCCTTCATGTGAGACTATTGTTTGCGTGACATACCCAAAAAAATTTCCTATCGCCTCGCTTTCATGTCGGTTAGTTAGTGCCCGCCTAAAAACACTTACCAAATGCATACAGGACTTTTTTTCTTCACGTGTGACTATTGTTTGTATGACATCCAAAAATATCTTACAGCCTCACTTTCATCGTGGTTAGTCAGACCAGTCATACTACTATTGGTTATCTTCTGAGAATATTTGTTTATTTTGAAGGACTTGTATTCTTCATTTTTGGTAACAAAACTCCTTCTAAATTCAAGGATTAGTATTCTGTAATGACAGCAGAAATGACACCGGCGTGATCGAGAAAGCGAGAGTCTGTTCATGTTATCATCAATCAGTCATGAGACGCTTCGAGTTATCAAACCGGGCTGGAGGTCCATATGGGAAAAAACTGTGCCCAAGGTCTTGAGTGCGATCGAGGTCGTCCTTTTAAAAGAAATCGGCACAGTATTTTCCCACGTGGACTGACCTAGACCAGTAAATAACTTCTTTTTTCACTGGTTTGATTTTTCCTGTTCCGCCGCGAATGGCGCAGAAAAATATTTCGAACCGTGATCCGCACAGTAGAAAGCTGAACTAGTTAATTATGCGCGATTGGCTAACCAGATCCGAGGATTTAATACTCTGGCCCACTGAGATGCTTCAGAAAAACGCGACTCGCTGTTGCTCAAAGCATCCGCTAAATATTTACAAAAAACAAACAAACAAACAACAGAAAGAATAACTTGTCCACAGCAAGGATAAATCCTTCGTAGGTTTTACGAATTACAACTTAAAAAATATGATGAAATCAGTACTAATACTAATACTAATACTTATACCACTGATAATGATGATGATGATGATGACGATGATGATGATGATAATAATGACAATAACAATAGTTATTAATACGAACATAGCAAAAAGCTGTATGATACAGTTCTTCCTTTCATTCAGAAGCCAGTCGGATTTCAAGAGGAAGGTGTGCCTAAAACATGAACACCTCGTGGCTTCGTCTGTGTCTGGAGTAATTTTCTTCATCCGCAAGGTAAAACTGTTCAAATTCTTCACGAAAATCTTTCAGAGATGGTTGCTTCTCACAGCTTGGTATGTTCAACAGCGAGTCGAAGAGCCTTCCCCAAATTGGATTCCAATACCTGCGATATTTTTCAAAGAGAGAATTCATAACCAGAACAAAGACGAGGCCGCCACACGTCAGGAAAAGAATTCCCTACGAAATGAATGTTCTTAAATGATAGGATAAAAGCGGGAAAAGTGGCACTTGAAGAGACCCCGTTAGACGGTAATAAGGGTTAAAGGCGTGGAAACTGAACTGGTGGAAAGCGCAAGAAAATGAGCAATAAGGGTAAAAAGCGGGAAAACTGGTCATTGTAGAGAGAGCTGGAAAATGAGTAATAGGGGAGGTGTTTATTAGAAATATTACACCTCGATATGAACTAAAAGGCGAGCTAGATGGACAAGAGCAATAAAAGCCGAGATGAGGGCGCAGAGCTAACTAGGCAAACTTGATTTGGGCAAGAAAGCATGTGACAGGTGATAATTAAGAGAAGGGCGCGAAAACTTCGATCAGTGTCGGGTGCAGAAAAAAAAAACCACTGAATTTGAAAAGACGCAGTTTGATAAAGTTCTCTCTTTAAAAGAGAGCATGCCACTGAAACCATGGATTTTTATCGCCACCATCAAAAGGTATCTTGAGATTACGAATGGTGAAGTGAACTGCAGAGAGTTGCGTACGTTCGTATTACCGGATCCATAATAGCATTTTTAACACATTCAAAGACAGTTTTCGAACGTTTGGGTTACTTCTGCTTTGAAATCTAAAAAGGCGTGGTGTGTATTTTTATCACATACTTTTTTTTATGGTGGAGACAGAAATTTCCTCCTTCTGGAGCATTTGAATGAAAGGGAGTGATCGTGTAATCTAAACTTTGACAGGGAGTGCCTGTAAGAGATAAAATAAGAGTGAGCATACCTTTTGAATGGTTTTGTGGTTTTCCACCTTCCCATTTTGTCTTGGCTTACTTTCATGTAATCAAGAAATAAGAGACAGTGTATTGTGCCCAAAAGCCCATACATATCAACCTGCAAACCAATGAAACACCAGCGTTAGTACAGAATAACAGTAACCCTTTAAGTGGCACAAGGAGTCACCGCAGCCCGATCGTTATAGCTGGGATGGTGCAATGAAGAGAACAGCTGCACCCAATCTCTGTGGCCTAGGTTCGACTCCCAGACCTGGCGTATCAACTAGCTGCGTTTGCTGAATTTATTCGCGTGATAAAGACCATGAGGTATTTCGCGTCACAAAAACCTTCTTTCCTTCCTCTGGAAAAAAAATTTACAGTTTAAGACACCATATACTGATAAATGGGACTGAAGGCTGCGCGGTGCAGTTTTACTCAACAAAACGTTTTTCCTTTACTCAGGAAAGAGCCTCTAAAGTTGAAGACGCACATTGCTGTTATCTAGGAGTGAAGACTTAGTGAAATTCAATTTTGAAAATGTGACTATACTCTTAATAGCTTTTGCAGAGCCTCTTATTAGAGTGTTGAAAGTAATCCATGATTGCTTTAGACTTGCTTAACTTCACTGTGACTGGTTCAGAAACTCGCGCCACCCACTCAACCAATCAGATTCAAAACTAAAATTTGGCCACTCGCGCTTTCCCGCGCTTTAAGCAGTGTGCCTGTTTTCACTCTGAGTTCTCATTGGCTAATGATGTCCACTTTGGCTTTGATTGGTTTTCGGTTTAGGTTTTCAACTCCACTGAAAACTGCTCTAGCTCGAGCAAAGCTAAGCTCGTTTTGACATTGTAGTTTTTCTAGCTACGGTAACTTGAAGGGATCTTTGTTGGAAGGTAGTATGAATCCTTCCTCAAAGCTTTCGTTACCTGAGTGGTCCAAGGTCTACCCTCTTTCATTTCTATGCACTGAAAATCTTCTGTGTAACAGTTGGTAGTGAAAGTTGTTCCGGCTGGAAAAAGGGTCATGTCCACACTACGTCCGAAGTCGATCAATTTTAGGCATGCGCAGTCCAATGTATCTTCACTAAGAAAAATAAAAAATGGAGAGAAATGAAGATGGTGTGTTAAAATCCTGTGAGGTTTTTTTTCTTTTTATGACACATGCATAGCCCTGTTATGAGCTATTTGGCTGAGTCAGTCTAACAGACGAACAAACTAAACTAATTTGATTACCTATCCAACACAAGGAAATTGTCTGGTTTTATGTCTCCGTGAATGATGCCACAAGAATGCAAGGTTTCTATAATTCGCAAAAGAGCAATGGTGTAATAAAACAGGACGCCTTCCTCCATGGTCTTCTTCTCCATTTTGTATTTGTTCACCATATCCTGAGGAAAAAAGAACAAAACTCGTCAATTTATCAATCATACTGTTTATATGATTCCTATGCATTTCCTCAGGTACTGACAATGCCAATTTGTTGACAATTAAGAGCTTCTAGCAAGTTGGTGATCATTTCCTTTATTCTCGCGACCTTAATGTTTGATTCAAGGGTGACACTGCTAAGAGATTTTGCATGCTGATCACTTTTAGGAGTTCAGAGTTAGGGGTTAAGCTGGACGAAAGGAAAGTTTCAAGACGGTTTTTCAACCTCGCAGAAATATTATGGATTGGACCCGAAAAAAAACTCAATAATGAAGACAAAGCCTTAATTGGACTTCTGTGACCGGCCCTCCGTCTTTCGCAACGGTTTTCTATGGGATTGCGCGCGGAGGGCCGTACGGGTCATACGATAGTCCGATTTTACTTCGGAAAAAGACTTACCAGAATGGTACCAAGTGGGTTGTATTTATCCACCAACACTGATGAATTAGAATACACAAATGCCGCTATTGGGTCCATGAACATCGCCTGCTGAAGGAAAAACAAGTGCACAAGTGATGTTAATGTCGAGGAGTCTTCGCGAGTCTGTATGAGAGACTGGGACTGGTTGTGGGGACTGGGGCGGGTTAAGGGCTTGGCAGCTTAAGGACGGCATAGGAGGAAAAGTTTTCACTGTGTTTGAGCTCAAATGACTGAAAAACAGGTTTTCTCATCCTCGGCAACAGTTATTGCCTTGTCCTCAACACTGTACTTAATAGCTCTAACCTTGGCTAGCAGTCAGATTTAGCTTCGCGATTCACTTCAGATAAGACAAAAATGTTCTCGATCAAAAAGAATCGTTTTATCTCCCCAATAAGGCTTTCCGCCGGTACTAGAGAAATCACTTTAGCACCAACTTTAACTCTAATCTAAACTTTCCATTTTTTTTTTCATAACGAAGGTCACTTGACCAACACTCAAGGCGTCAACTGCTTGTACTTAACGTTCTCAATATAGTTTAAGGCTAGGTTTAGGAGGGAATTCTTAAAATTGAAGAGCCATAAACTTACCAGCTCTTTAGAGCATCCACACTCCCTCATTCTCTTTTGAAGCTGTTTACTTACGTAAAATTCCCATTCAATCGATATTTCCTGTACCTGTAGGATATATTAACACAAATAACCATGGGGGGTTCCATGAACTAAACAAAAAAAGGGGATCTAAACCTAAAATCAAACGTGGAAAAATGCCTCAGGTTTATGAGGGGTTTTAGAGGGAAAAAAAACTAACGGAATCTGATCTAAATTCATGCGAATGAGCGTTAGGTGCAATGTTAAGTGTGAATAAACATGTAACAGACGCCGGACAGAATGTCATGCGCAATAGACAAACAACAGAGGCTCTTTGATTGGTCTTGAAAACTCGCGCCCACCCTTCTCAACCAATTATGTACAATACTAGAACCCATCATCCTCGTTTTCCCGCCCTTCAGGTCGTTTGCTTCTGATCTCTAGTGGGTTCTCATTGGTTCCTTGGAATTTTCCTTCGCCCAGAATTGTTCGTTGTATTTCGGTTTAGGTCACATAACATGGGTGTTGGCTTAAAATAAGCGCGTAGATACACGCAACGGGCACAAGACACCCTCAAAAGGACAAAGGAATCACCAAAAAATTTTCTCAGAACTGACATTCTGATCAACCTGAAAAAGGCACCCTACCTTCAACACCACGGAACTTTCGTCGTCAGTTTCGAAATCGTTATCATCATTGTCACCGAATTTTTTCGCCAAGAAAACTTTGGCGAAAGCCCCAGAACCGATCGACTTTTCAACATTGAATACTTCATTGCCACCTACAAACGTAAACAAGAGAAGTAAATCATGACGTTCAAATCTGGTTCGTAAATAGAGCGCCTTTCGATTGAGCGTCGTAGAAACCAAAACCAAGCAGTCAATGGGAACTCGAGGTAAAAACAAGAAAACTGCATGAAGCGCGGAAAAAACGCGAGTAACCAAGTCGCATTGGTTTTAGTTTTGCATCTGATTGGTTGAAAAACATGTGCAAGTTTTCTAAACCAATCAAAGTACCAAATGAAGCAAAACCACTGCAATCCCGGATGACATTCGACGCTCAATTGAAAATTGCCCTATTTCAAAATTAGGACTTACTGAGAGGTTTCTCCAATTTAAACAAAGAATTTCAAGCTTCAGTCTCTAATTCACAAAGTGAAACAACACTTTTTGGTGTTTCTTTAAAAAGGACCTTTACTTGGGCAGTATCGTTCATTACAGTTTTAATGCCACAATCAGACATTTTTTGGGTTTAATTCAAAACTAAAGGCGGGCTTATTTTAGGCATTTCTCCCAGCAAAGAGATTCACAACTCACCTAAATTCACGGATGCATTTGATACAATTCTTGGCACTTCTTTGCTTGACACAGTGAATCCTTCATAGCTTGATAACGAAGGATTAATCCGGCGGAGTAAATTGTCAACAACAGCACCAGCGAAAGGGTTTATCGCAACATTACCAACATTGACAGCCTGTTGTTCACCATCACCGTGGCAGAGGCTTGTTTCCTCTTGTATCTTACTTAGTTCTAACCCATTGTGCTGCTGTGCACCAACTGAACAAGAAAATCGCCTGGATGAACCGTTGGACGAATGGCTTGAGTTTGTTGATTTGGTATCCTCCTGGCTGGCTTCAAATATTGGGCTCAAAACTTTGCTGGGCGTGGAAATAAAGCTGTTGCTTGCTTGGACAGTGTTCGGATGTGAGGACCGGTATTGACCTCCGTCAGAAGGCAAGTCACTCAATTCTGGAATTTCATTAGCTGGGCGAATTGTGCTGCAAGGAAGGCTTGGAAGTGACATCGGGCCATTTGTGTAACAGAATGGAGTCGAGGCCATGTGTGCCGCAGTGGCGAAGCTTGAAGATGCAAGGGTCTGGTCATGGGTGAAATCGGCCAAGAAAACTTCGCTAGTTTTGTCCAGCTGTTGCAACGGTTGGTAATTCTTGAGATTTGTACTCTCAAATTTTTCATTCATTTCAGCTTCTTCCTCGTCATCATCCTCCTCTGAGCAGGTTGGAATACCCAGGGATGGCTGAAGAATACCAGCTAAGGGTCGACGACATGCTTCTTGCCGGTTGCCTTTTGGTGGCCTGTCCAGCAAACAGAACAAAACTAGTTGTCAGAGACAAATCATATTTGATGTGAATTAGCAAAATGTACAATAACGAAAAAAAAAGATGACACTTTGGTCAGTATCAGTGCGAAGCCTCACCAACACCAACGAGGCCATTTATTTGCACCTAGATCAATTTGTGTCCCAAACACTACACTTCCAGCTGGACCCTCCAAACACGGTGATTGTGTATCAACTCATTTTAAAAGTGATTCAACGGATACAGAGTAATTCCAACATTTAAAAGCTTTTATGAAATACAATAACCATTATAAAGATAAGTACTGACAGAAGCTCAGGACGAAAATAGGGAGTGTATAAATCTCGGGAAACACCATATTCAACACGTACATATTTTCCTTGTCTTCAAATTCCTTTTCTTTGGCATCTGTGTCTCCATTCCTTTTGTCAGCCACATTCTCATCATAAATCACGAAACCAGCAGAACTTCCAAATCCTCCTTTTTCAAAACGGTTAAAAAAGAGAAACTTGTCAGTGCAACTTTGTGGTTCTTTGAAGGGTTTTTGTTTCATAATTTGCAAGAGGTACGTTAGTTCTCTGAAGAGTTTAGTAATGACCACTGTGAACAACATATGCGTCTTCTGTTGCGGCCAAAATGCTCCGTATGGCAATAATTGATCATGGAGAGGCCAAGAGCTTTTACCTCTTCAAGAGATCATTATTTGGCTTTTCCCAGAAAAAGAAAAAAGGAAATCTTGTATCCCATATTTGCTTTAGACGAGAAGCAACAAGTTCGGTGAAAATTGATCGGCTAGCGCGCCACGCAGAACTCTGGAACATCAATTTAATTTCAGTGATTTTATGACTCGCACGGCGGACTTTGCCTAAAAGTAGGGACTGTTCGTAATCTATATTTGCTTTTGCTGCGGTTGAGTTTGAAATATTATATACATTCCCAAGGGCGTCGAGTTTCATAAGGACCTCCCTGTACACTAGCATCGCAGAGTCATTCGGGGACTAATGTGATTCTACCAGCAAATGTCATAAATCATATGATCAGTTTTCTTGATAAAAAGAGCAAAGTGCACCCTGGACCTGGCACTACCCTTTCCCAACTTTAACACTTTGCTGGGGCCTGTTTCTCTAAAGACCCGGTTTCTTAACAGGCTCAAAAAGGTTTTTTCTTTATATTTCTAAATTTCACTCAAGATCGAGACTTTTACAGACTTGAGATTCAAAGAAATAAAGATATCAGGAAAAGACACAGGATGGATTGGTCTTTGAGTGAAGACTTGCATTAGTATGCCGCAGTATTAGATCTAGAAATATCAAATCGGGCCTGAAAAGTTTCTGCGGCTTAACAGAAACGGGCCCCTGGATTTGTGTGTGGTCTGTGAAAGTCTTTGCCTACCCATTCCTGCAAGACCTTTTGAAAATCCCACAGTGGTAGTATCATCACCAGTGAATGCTGCTTCAAAGTCCTTCTCTGTCTTATCCATCTCCTGGCGCGGCCCCAGGGTTAAGTCACGTTCTGAATCAAGCGGGCCGCAGAACATATCTCCAACAACCATTAACGCTTGTTTAGTGAAAACAGTTGGCGAAGGACCAGCCAGATTGGAGCTGTTGAAGCTACAAGACCTGTTCACATCCGGTGTGACTGGTTGGAAAGCTGATTTTCGGTACATGGACTGTGAATCACTTGCCAGGGTGGAGCCAGGAGGCTTTGAAGAGGTCTGATCATGGTTGGTTGAATTTTGCACAGAAGGAAGAGGAGCTCTAGACTGATCTGCAAAAGCAAGACCTCCTTGCGTCATAGGCTCCACATCCACACTAAAAAATAGAATAATTGCATGACTGTGCATTCATGTTCAACCAAATAGTATTTCCCTACTGGATCAATCGCACTTTGACGAGTTGAGCACCCTACTGTGATACCATCAGGCCATTTCCGAATTACCTTTTACCTCTTTTTAAAACGAGGTCTGGTGCTCAACCATTCAAATGAAAATGAGTTTAATTTGCATGCGAATACTAATAATCATATAAAGGATGAGCACCAGAATCCGCGTTGAAAATGAAGTCAACGGTATTCACCTCAGTGTAGGTGGCTAGTGGTAGATATTACCTCATTGCGAGGTGAGTAATTGTTTTAGCATTTGCTAAAACAGTGAGATAACATAGCACAGAAAGACGTTTTTTACTCATTTATTCTTGCAATGATTACAACATTTTCAGGTGTAAATCCTGTGCATGTTGCTCGGCGTTGAATACCAAAGGATATTCAGCGTTCGTGTAGCCAATCACAGTGCGCCTTCAGCGCTATCCACTGGTTTAGTACATTAGAAGAGATATCACGGACTGATGTAAATTGTTCAAAATAATAACTTAATAATTTTATGCAGGTGAAGATTCCTTGTTCTTTTATTTGCCAATGTCCTAACATATAATTATTCATCATACAGGGAGGACCATTATACAAGGAATACCCTCAAGGATAAAAATAGTGTCCTTGATTAGATGTTCCCTGCAGTGAAGGTATAACACTTGGGCTTTAGGAGCATTTTTCAGCCAGAATCAAAATATGTTTCTCATGAATAAAGGTGTTTTTTAAATCTATTCCATGATAGCAATAAACAATAAGACAGGATGTCACTAACCCTATAACTCTTTTAAGCGACCAAGACAGAATTTCTCCTTACAATATCAGTACAACATCAACCAGATTAGTGATGAAATAAAGAAAAATTTCAATTTGGGGATATTTGGTTGATTCAATACTAAATTCTCAGTACTAACATTATAACAATTTTATGGTTGACAGTAAGGAGAATTAGTACAAATTTGATCTAGAGCTTAAGGGTTAAAAAGACCCCTACAACCTACATGTTTTCTTCACCATCAGACTTCTTTTGCACTGAAGAAAAAGGAGCACTAGATTGATCTGCAAAGGCAAGACCTCGTCGTGCTATAGGTTCAGCAGCCACACTAGAAAGTCAAACTCAATGTTAACATATTTCTGTGTTAAAACAAGTGTCTCATGCCTAAACTGACAATCTACACAACACAGGAATAAAGGGGGTAAGTTTCTAAGGAAACTGTGGTGCTGAATAGGTAGGAGTATAACAAGATAATTTGGTTTCATCAATTGATTTGATGATGTAAACTGGCCATCCTAAAGAGTTTCTAAAGCTGATGATTTGAGTGCGAGCCCTTCATCAGAGCAAAACTACAACACAGCAGTTTTCCTTACTAGGGCAATTTACTGTATACAGCAATCTATGTAAAGGAAATGATCACAAACCTAAGAAGCTTTGATTATTGAATAAATTCTCCTTGTCAGTACCAAAGGAAATGTGAGGAGAAGAGTATGGAGAAAATGGATACTGATGTTATGTGTAAAGGGTTTACCCTCTACACCCTAATATCAGTATGCACATTCTACATTATCTTTCCTAACTTGCTGTTTCCTAACTTGCTGACAAGGAGAACTTGTTCAACAATCAAGAGCGTCTTTAGTTGGTGATCATTTCCTTTATTCTCATGACCTTAAATGTGTGACTCAGGGATGATACTGTAGAGAGAAATTAGATGCAAGTCACTCTTAGGGGTTAAAGCTGCATTCAATAACCTGGAATCTATGGAAAAAACTAAACACTACAAATTATTTTTCATGATACAAGTATATAGATTTCTTGTCTGCGAGTAAAAAAAAATATCAAATATACCTGTACCTGCTATAAACTGTCTTTGTTGAAACTTCAGTTGAAGTGTTTGGCTCAGGAACAGTTGAAACAACACTCTTCTGACAGCTGCCAATCTCCATGGCACACGATTCCTTGTCGCAATGCATTTCAAAACCACCTTGCTTGCCACTGGCTGGCAAAGTTTTACACTGTATTGTTGAGCTTATCTTTTGTGAGTTCCTTGTAGCCTCTTCATTCTTTTGACGAGCATAATATCTCCTGGCTAGAATTTCCTCATACTGAAACTCGCCACGGATTAAGTCATAAATCTCCTTTTTAGGGTACATGTATCGAACATTTGTGGGAGGTCTCTCAATAGCTGGTGCTCTGAAGGTTCCCTCTCTTACCCTAGCAAATATCCTTGCTGCGCGTAGCTCTTCAAAGGAAAACTCCTGAGTCCCAGCATAAATTTTTTCCTTGCAGTATATCACCTTTGACTTTTGGCCTTCAGCATTTTCTGGCTGCAAAAAATAAACATCAAACTTTTGATCACAGGACTGTACTGTGAAATTGGCGAATGGATTCCATGTTGCCATGTGTTGGTTGAATAGTAGATCACAGATGATGTCAAAATGACACAAGGTGCAGCCGATGGTGTCACTGATGTCCTTCTATATTTTTATATCTTATTGTGATGGTCACCAGACAAATAATTTCTCCGAGTAACCACATCTATAGTTTCAATATTTCCTTTAGTTCTTAGAAATTTTTATGGTATGATTTAGCAAGCTTATGATATCATTTAGGAATGCCTTTACAGTTGCACATGTTAGCTCAAATGTGGTTTCATGGTGCCCTCGAATGCAGTTTCACAGCACCCTCAAGTGTGGTTCCACTCTTAAATAGAAGTAAACTATGGTTGTAGTTGAGTTGAGTTTGTGCTGCTGTACTGAACTGTTTGTCTAAGAGAGGGCTAGAGAGGTGGAGAACTTGCTCCTGGCAAGGTAACATCTGTTAGTTGTTCCCATTTATTTTACATTATTTTATATCATTTTACTTTACTTCCATTTACTCTATTTTGGTTTGCATTTACAATAAATTGCTTTGGAAATCCTTGAATCTTCTTTGTTCCTATTTGCTCAACCGCCACATCCTGTTAGATTATGTGAAATTAGTAATTGGATTCCATGTTGCCGTGTATCTGTTGAGTAGTCAATCACAGATGACGTCAAAATGTGGTAGGAACAGCTGATTGTGTCACTGATGTCCTTCCACATTTTTACATTTTATGTGATCTCCTACAGTACAGGCTCACTGGGGCATGGATTGTATTTGTTGTTAATTATGTTGTTATCCACAAGCCTGTCCTCTAATAGATCACAAGTGAGAACCAATCAAAATGCAGGTGCAATTCAGTGTATCATACAAACCTCGACATACACCTTGAACATTACCTTATTCCTGAGTGTATCCATGACAGAAGGTCGATCTGGTTTGCGCGAGCTCAAGACCTTGTCAAACTGTAACACATGCTGAGGAGTAGCAGGAGGATGGCTTTTGATGTCATCATCAACATGGACAGAGAAGACAGGCTTTTGGGGCATGCAGTTGATAGGCACAGATGCACGGTGTTTCTGAGAGACCTAAAATGCAGACAATAGATGTTTTGACTTGACTGAATAACTTCAATGTTGTTTAATGTCAAGAAGCAGTGTAGCCAAATGGTTACTGGGCCTAGTGGGCATGTAAAAGGGTGACCTGGGTTCAAGCCCTCCACGCTGCTTTTCACTGGATTTATCGGCAGTTTTTCCAGGTTCAATTGCCTGGCTGTGCTTTGTATAAAGCCAACTGGTCTGCCTCCTGCCAGTTGGGGTTTATATAACGTTTGTTTGTATGTGCCCTGAGAAGCCCCATCAAGGAGAGCAGCCAATAAATATACATACAGTACACACACTGTCACATATATATATATTTGGACAAGGCTTGTGTTTGGGCAGCTACCTATGGAAAAAATCATTGAAACTCCTGATAGATTTATCATTATGCACCTTTGCATCAGTCCATTTCCCAGGCTTCTGGGTGTTTTCTTTTTTGATTATTGGTTCAGTAGGGGGCATCTGCCATTCCCCTGTGGAGGGGGGTAAGGAGCTTTGCATTCCAGGTTCATTGTCACAAAAGATCTTGAAGCCATTATTGGAGGTGTTTGATGTTGTCACAGTTCCCCTGATGCCTGTCTTTTTAGCTGAAAGAACAAGTTACCAATGAAGAAACAACAAAACTAAAAAGTTAAACTCCATGGGGTTTTAACCCTTTGTACCCTTACATCAGTATGCATATTCTCCATACTGCTCTCCACACATTTCTTACAGTGCTGACAAGTAGAATTTGGTTTAACAATCAAGGGTTTCTTCCATAGGTGATCATTTCCTTTATTCTCATGACTAACCCTAACCCTAACCAATGTGTGATTTAGGGGTAATATTGTGGAGAGAAATCAGATACTAGTCATTTTTAGTAGTCGAAGGGTAAATAGAACAAGCCTGCCAAACAATCATGGATGATTTTCCAAGATATGAGGTACTGTATATAAGTATCATGCTTTCTTTGGGAAAGCGATGACTGATGTGGCACAAGGTAAAATGTTCAGCTTTCAAATACTAAGAGCTAATTTCTCTTTTAATCATAACCATTACAATTTCCTCAAATTTAATTGGTGCATAATAGCTACTTTATTTTCCACTAATTATTCTCTACAGCTGTAATCAGACAATGCAATTGGACTATGTAATCGGAAAGTTAAAGCAGCCAATCATACTAAGTCCACCCAACCAAATCCATTAATCACAATAACCACTAATCCTGAAAAATAGCTGAGGAATTTCCAAAATGTAGAAATTTTTTCAACATTTTGGAGATATTTGACCTAAATGTATTTGTTGTTTTTGGAAATTGTAAGGGTTATGATTAACTGGTGACAGGACTTCTTGTCTACCAATTCTGTCTCTAATCATACTTATGGTTGATAAATTGGACTCCTGCTTTGCAACCATTGGATTTTGTTAATCACTCATATGGTTGTAGACTGAAATGAACTCCACTCATTCCTATTACCATTAAAAATATGGGTTTACAATAACCAGTATTGAGTGACTTACTGAGAGTGGCATTTCCAGTACGTTTAGTCCCAACAATTCCTTTCTTTCCATGGCCCTTAAGGCCTCCTAGAGCTGTTCTCTGAAGTTCAGACTCATCTGTTATCGACACTTGCTGTAATCCATTTGAAACTCTTTCAGCCAGTCGTAACTCAAAGGCTCTATTACAGTGTGAAAAAGAAATGTATATTTAGGACTATTAAAGAAAAACAGGGCATGTTCAAGGTGGTGGAGAGTGCCGTTAACTATGCCCAGGTCTCTTTCATTAACCAGTGTACTTTTGAAGTTTAGCAATACACTGATGATGAATTAAGCTAACCTGCGAGCATTTATGAACCTTCTAAAGTCATAGGAATTCAACACATGAAGTCAATAATCGCTACAAATTATTTTCAACCCTGTCCCAAATGAGATGTAAGTTCATTATCTCTTTTCAGTCTCAAAAACTTTCACTCATAACCATAATTATGAGTAGAGATAGACACTTTACTATTTAGTTAGAGCGAAGTGGAGACATGCAAATATACATAGACCACCATAAATACAGGGATCTTATAAAACAAATAGATTCTATGTTGCTGTGGGGCTGTAAGGTAAAAGATCATAAAAACAATGTGGTAAAGACATCAGTGACTCATTTGCCTGTGCCTTGGGTGCCACTTTCATGTTCTTACTGTATCTTGATGTCATCTGTGATGTCATTTGATCTATTACTGAACAAACACACTGCAACTTGGAATCTATTTGTTAACTACAAAGCATACAGATCTTACACAATGCTAATTCAAGAATTGAAACATGACATCTTCATACACAAGACATTAGACTGTGTTGACCTACTTGTGTTGTTTCTGAAGTCTTTCCAATGGTTGAGCACTCCGGTGAATTCCTAAGTTTAGTACTTCATCAGCTTTATTGCAATCTCCAAGGTTTTCAAGACTAAGGGCCCATGCTTCATAGAAGAGAGCTAATCCATTGCCTAACTGCTGACTGTGCATGTAGTTAAAAATTTCCAAGGGATCTGTACAAATGTCAGTCTAGAAGGAAAAAAAAATACTTGTTTGTTTAAAAATACAACAACATGGCATAATCCAATATCCTTACTTTACCAGTAACCAGTCAACTCGCCGACGGACCAACTTCTGTTTTTCAAACAGCTTCTGTTTGATGTTCACCAATGTTCACCAGTTAGTGTTTTTTTAGTATTTTTACTAAATATCGTTTAATTTTCTGTATGTTTAACTTCTAATAAGTTGTATTGGATTGACGACCAACTCGCTGACGTCTCTACTGGATTTTATACATCGGCGAGTTGGCGTTGGCGAGTTGGTCTGTCGGCGAGTTGACCGTAATTCACTTTACCAAATGTTTGGAAGATGGGTAAAATTTCTGCACAGCCCTATTCTTCATTATGCATTCAGTTCTTGAATAGAGAAAACAATGACAAAAACAATACATTTCCATTGGTAAAGCAGATTTGTTCTACAATCGTATGGGGCTGTGTAGAAACTTTACCAGAAGATGTGTTGCCCTGATGGTTAGTGCACTGAACTCCCAGGTCAACCCTTTAACTACCAAGAGTGACCAAGACAGAGTTTCTCCTTACAATATCAATACAGTGTCAAGCAGACAAGTGATGAGAGTTAAGAAAAAATAACAATACATGTAAGGGAATTATTAGTTGATGCAATACCAAATTCTCCAACATAACATTATAGTAATCATAGATTGGGCAGTAAGAAAAATTACAATCGATATCTTGGAAGTGAAAGGGTTCAGAGGTCAGGTTATTGTGCCTCTTTGCACCCAAGGCCCAGTTGTTCAAAGGTCAACAATCGCTAATCCAAGGATTCTTTATTCTTTTGTTCAAAAGCCTTTTTTTGGGATAATTTTCTTTATTCATTTAAGAGTGTCCAATATTCAAATTCTAGACAAAAATAAATTTACTGAATTTTCTTTTAAAGCTTTCAGATCTATAACTAGATTTTATATTAATCATGAATAATCTTAACTCAGTGAATAACATGGCCCAAGTTGAGAGAGAGGATCATTGTGTTGTGTTGTGTTGCGTTCTTGTACAAAACACTTCAATTACACAATGCCTCTCTCCACCCAGGAGTATAAATGGGTACCAGTGAACTGTTAGGTTACCCTGATGAAATGCCAGGATTGTATTAATTTTTTAAATTCTTCGATGTTACTTACATAACGCAACCAGACTTTCACGTATCGTTCATCGTTCTTGTATCTTTCTTCATCTTTGAACGTTGTCATGCACCGCTCGAGTAAACTTCCCAAATCTTTACCGCCTTTGGGAAAGTTTTCACTCGTCCAAACTATGTACCTGTTAGCATAAAGACAACCGTAAGCTACAGCATAACTTCTACAACGTTTTAACTTCTATGTGTGATGCACGAAAGCACATGCCGAGGTGATTTGTATTTTGAATCACATACCTGTACCAGTTAGCTAATGGATCTTCGCCTTCATACGTTCTGATCTGTGCTTCAAACTCTCTAAGATGAACGAAAAGGATACAATTAAATTTTTTTAATCGACAAGGTTCTTCTTTTGAAGATCTATTACGAAAAAACTTACCGTTTCTCTTTATGAATTCTACTTTGATCAACAGAACTAGGAGCGAACGCTGCTGTCAAGTTCGCCAACTTGCGCCCTTGTTTCAAGGGCTGTACGTTCTCCTTACTCAACTCCCACTCATTAGGATTGGAGGAATCAGAGCTTGCCTCCATTTTTCAAAAATGAGCTATCTTCCGGAGACTGTAGGAGGAAGAAAATGAAGCTAAAATTTTACACTTTTACTGAGAAACGAACAACAACATGAACAAAGCGTTAGGTTCAAAATTTCCCGCCGTATGACCGCAGTCCAACTTGATCGCTGGTGCGTCAATTTTTTAAGAAGAGCATTGTGGGTATGATCGTAAGACCAACATGGCGGAAAAACATGCTCTTCACGAAAGTGATGAGGGTTATGCCGAAAGTGGGTACGAAAATGGTGGTTTCAAGCGGCAAAAACTTGCGTCAGGCGAGGCTCATAGAACGTACCAGGCTGGAGGTGGTGGGAATCCGCACTATACGGATCCCTCGCCAGTCATTCATGTGCGTGGGGTTGCTGATGAAGCCCGCGAACAAGATTTGATGCACGCTTTGTCAACATTTGGTTCAATCAGGTATATTACAACTGAAAGAGGGTCGTTATTTTCCCTGTTTTTCTCACTCAAGAGGCGAAATTGATGTCTGAAAATACCTGGATAAATGTTAAAACAAGGCCTTTTATATCCCGCGTCAAACCGAAGGATCGATCCTGCGCTCAATTAATTATAGCGAAGTAAATTTTATGCTGTCATTTAATTACGCTGAAATTGACCATCTGGTAATGTTCGAGCAACTCCTATATCTAACAGCCTTTTGTGCACATACTGGATTCTTTTCTGTTATAAAATCCTGTTTTTCGTCTTAGTTGTGTGACAATGATGCCGAAACTGCGACAAGCGTTAGTGGAATTTGACGTAAGTTACAACATTTCCTGATATAATTTTAGCTTCGTTTAGGGCCTCTCACTGGCAAATTTGCCATGATATTGCTCTCAAAACAAGGATCGTGATATTCTGTATTATCCAGTATTCGCCTGCGTGTTTTATTCACCATCTATTAATAACAACACAGACCAACATGATGAGGATTTCATTTTTCATCTTTAAGTTCCCCACCTTCATTTTCTCTCTTTTTTGTGCGCAAAGCAACTGTAGACACTCGATAAAGCTCCCGGTAAAATTTCCGCATAGCCTATACTATTGTTAAACAAATCTGTTTTTCCAATGGCAATGTATTGCTTTTGTCGTTGTTTTCTCTATCCAAGAACTGAATGCATAATGTCATATGGGGCTGTGTGGAAATTTTACCAAAGCTCCCTCCACTTTTTTTTTGGTCCGGATGTTTTTTTTTTTAATTGTAAGTTGTTGACATATATGCTACCTATATCATTCATGGTTTTATTGACAATTTTTAATACAGGATAAGTACAGTGTAATCCACATGAATTTTCTCTGAAGAGAGAAACTCCACCAAGGATTTTCTTGTTTAGGCAAAATGTCTAAGAGGAAATGTTGTAATTTCAAACAAAACTTATGTAAAAATGGTTTCAAACTAGTTAAATTTTGCAGTTTCCATTGCTGACAGGTATTCATTTTCATTATAGGAGGTTTCATCAGCAAAATCTCTGATGGATTATACACAGGTAAATCTTGCTAGATTATATACACCTTATTTAATGGTTTGATATAAAATACGCTCAGATATTTTGCAAGTTGTGCAATTTTTTTCCAAGCCCCAAGAGGGGAGGAAAATTAAGAGCATCAAGCAAAATGCACCTCCTTCTTGGTTGGTCAAAGACAAATGGATATAGTGTGGTTCAGGATTTCTACAGTATATTACTCTTTCTCAAAATTTAAGTTCAAAAGACAGATAAAATATTTTAATTTTTAGAAGGTTAAAAAATGCATTTGAACTATGATGAAGTGAAAAAACAACAACATACAGGTATTTTGTGAACTATTGAAAAGTGTTTTGAGCAAAATGCAGCAAGGATGCACAAACTATGGTTGGATGGTGATTTTGTTGGAAGTGTGAAAAAAAAAAATTTCCACTATTTAATCTGGTTTTTACCTTTTAGGGTGGACAGACAATTGTGCTTAGTGGAAGACCTGCTTACTTCAACTTTTCAAAGAGCAAGAGTATTTCCAAGTAAGAGAAAGATTATGTATTATATACTTTAATATCAGTAAGCATATTCTCCATACTGTTCTCTAAACGTTTCCCAGATGCTGATTAGGAGAATTTGTTCAACAATCAAGAGCTTCTTTGTTGGTGATCATTTCCTTTATTCTCATGACCTTAATGTATGGCTTGGGGTGATATTGTAAGGAGAAAATAGAAACTAGTTACTCCAGGGGTCAAAGGCTTAGAAGATGAACTGGAGTAGACAGGAAACTCTCTGGATCAAGGTTGTGATGCACAGACCAAGAGCAGTGAGGTCTGTATATCATGACAAGGAGCCAAATATTTCCTGCTGTACATAACCCAACTAAGACAATAGCATTCTATCATAGGACCACTGTTTCTCTCTTTCCTTTTCAAACCAAGATTGACCAGCATCCAATTTCCTCTTGCATTATCACCAATGAATTGCACTGTAAGGTTTCAAGAATAAAAAAGAGGAGCAGAAAACATATTGAGAACAGAATGGAGAATATGCATACAGAAGTTACAGTGTATAGGGTTAAGTTGACTTGTGATTTTAATTAATCATGTGCGCTCTTTTGGGTTGTTTCAAGTTTGAATCCTTTTTCAATCTTTTTTGTTACTGTTAGAGATGTGTGTAACCTTATGAAACATCTTTCAAAATAAAAATGTATTGAAATGTTTCTAAAAGAGTGAATTTCTGTGCAAAAAAACATAACTTTGCTAATTTTTTTCCCCACAGAAACCTGCATATACAGCAAGAGCTTCCCCCAAACAGAATACTTTTGATCACCATTATTAACCCTCAATATCCCATAACAACAGTAAGTGGAGTTTGTGTTGGCATATTCTCCTGTTAGAAATATTAGTCATCAGTGCTCTACCTTGAAATTTTTTCATCATTACTCCAGGGACTAGTAGAGCTGAACATTTGCTAGTTTTCAGAAATCTTTCATTGTCTTTGCATAGTGTTGCAGAATTTGAATTTGTGGTTTTTAAATTTGATGCAGCTTAATTATACGACAGATAATAAGTCAATGAAGAGAACCAGTTAGTAGTGAGACTTGTGTTCCACTGTTCAGTAAAGATTGCAAAAACATATACTGTCCTATGACCAGTGGCCCAAAGATTAAATACTAGTCTAGAGGCAATATCTTCCATTCTAGGACTAATGGACTGTGGCTGAATTCAAGCACTGGTTGTATTGTTTTCCATGTCTGATGCTTCATATCAAGTCTTCAGAGTGAATTTTTAAGATCTCAGCTCATCACATAGGTGATTGAATAGCACTGGAACCCTTTAAAGCAACTGACAAAGTGCACCAATTGTCAACAAACTTGTAATGAGCAGTTTTGCTCTACTTGAATCAATATGAATGATTGCTGGTACATTATCATTGCTTTTACTTCCAGGACATTCTGCACACAATCTTCAGTAAACAAGGCCAGGTATTAAGGATTGTCATTTTCAGGAAGAGTGGTTTGCAGGCCATGGTTGAGTATCCTTTGCTAAAATCAAGTTCTTCTACTTGCATGTATTCCAGTGGAAAGTATGCATGCAAGTTTATTGGAAGGGGTGTCACAACCTGTTCCAATCAGTAGAGATTTTTCCATTTCCACATGGAAGGTTACATTTTCTTCCCATTTGAAAAACACTTGATCAGGCTTAACTGTAAAAATTCTTTTAACCTTTGACTCCTGAGAGTGACTGGCATCTAAATTCCTCATACAATATCAACCACCAATGACATAATTATTAAGGTTACAAGAATAAAAGAAAGATCACCAACTAAAGAAACTCTTGATTGTTCAACAAATTCTCCTTATCAGCACCTTTTCTACTGCATGTGAGGAACTTCACTCACTGGACATGTGTATGCAGGTAATCCCATGGTATTACATGTGCTTTAGGCACATGCCTGTATCACCCATGAATCAAACATTAAATTCATTAGGAAAAAGAAGTTATTGCAAACTCAAGAAGCTCTTGGTTTCTAAACAAATTTTCCTTGTAAGTGCCATAGAAAATGTATAGAGAACAGTTTGGGAGAATATACTTACTCATGTTAGGGTGTAAAGGGTTAATGATTTTAGTTGAATTCCTTGACAATGATTGAACACCAGATTTGCTACTGTGGACCAAGCCCAACAGGCTAAAGATGTTTTAAACAGTGCTGATATTTACACTGGCTGTAACACACTGAAAATAGAATACTCAAGGGTAAATCTGATAAATATGATATGTTAATAGTGTCCTTTTGGTCTAGTGACCAGTACATGTATATGCAACAGTAAACAGATTTTTGGAACAGCGCATGATAATGATGATGACATTGACTGATAATGATGATGACAATGTTGTCAAGGACAATTACAAGGACTATGATGATGACGCTGATAAACTGTAATGACATTGACATTGACAGGGATGAGAATTATAATATTAAGGATGATGACAATGGTAATGATAGAGAAAGATGTCTTTTGTCTTTTTAAGAGGGTGGAACAAGAAAAAAGTTTGAGTCCCCATGAGCTCAAAACTTATTATCTCTCTTATTCTATTTACAAACATGACACTGTTGACATTTTGATCCTAGCAGTATGCAAGGCGTGTGTCATATGAACTTTGTAACAGGCCTTGCTCCCATAGAGTCTCTGTGGCTTAATGGTAAAGCATTGGAGCATGGAATCTGATGGTCTGAGGTTCAATTTCTCATAGGGACTCAGAGTTTTTCTTTATCCCATGCTTGTGACAAGATGAAAAAAGCATCTTTCTCTATTTCTTTACCGAGCTCAAAACTAACCATCTCTCTTATTTTTTTTTACAAAAATAATAATGATGATTACAATGATATGATCATGTTAATTACAATGATAATGCTGACAAGGACAAATGACAATGGCTATGACAAGGACAATTACAGGGATCCATGAGGACAATATTAATAATGATGAAGACAACAATAGTGACACCAGAGATGGTGACTATTACCACAGCAATAGAGCCAACAATGTTTATTTAAAAATGCATAATGAGTAATTAGTAAATAAAAAATACTGCCACCAGAACATATTAGGAAGGGATATTATGCACCAAGATGTTTGATTTTTAAAAAATAAGTGTTATTCTAGTTATACTCTACATGTAACCTTGATTACGCACTGCGACATTTTCTCTGCTAGTTTTACTGTACATAAAGCTTGAATAGTAATTGTGTAGTAAAAAGTAATGAAAGTTTTTTTTAGGCTACATCACTGAATGTGTACAAGAATGATGAAGAAACATTTGACTATACTGAAGACAAAGCACATGGTGGGTTGATAATTTGATCTTTGTTGTCCATAATTGTCACAAAGATATGTAAACATCAAATGGGAAGAAAGACATTCAATAGTGCAAAGCAGAATTAAGAACTACAAAGATCTTTGTTGTTAAATTGCCAAAAATAGTATATGAATGTGCATGTACTACAGAATACCAATGCAAAATTTATTGACACTATTGGACAAAAAGATTATTGCACAAACTGTGTACTGTTAGTCATTTTCTGCGGTGACAATGGGAGTTTCAGTTTTGCATCTACCTTTGATATTTTATTGTTTTGTTTCCTGTACTGAATTGTCAACTATTGAAACTATTTTTTTTTTGTGATGCTTTTTAGAACCCTGTGTATTTTACGTAACCAATTGTTTTGTTAATAAGAAGTTAGAAATGGTGAAATGACTTGATATTTCTCATTAGCTCAGGGCAACAGGCTATATGAGTTCTATGGGTCTCAAGCCCAGGGTGTTACGATTTTGCCAAATAATAATCATCACTTAGTTATTTTATTGCAGCTTCACTACCCCAACCCCTGGGGCATTCCAATCTTGCCTAATTTTTTTTTAATCATAGATTTCAAAGGTTTCTGGATAATCCCAAGCCCAGAGCATTTAATTTTGCCAAATAGAAACATCATTGCTTATTTTTATTGTAGATTTGAAGGTGTCTTGACTATAATGTTTATTTGGCAAAAAGTACTAATATTCTTGGTTTCAAAGCTTACAACAAGCCCCACTGCGCTTTAAATCAGTCCATCTCTCCATACATGTACATCCCAATCTTAGTTTTAGTTTGAGATGCAGTTGAGGGCTGATGACAGCCACAAGGGTTTTAAGTAAGTTCCTGAAGGTACATGTACTGATTTTGGCCTTTTTGCATGTTTCTTTTTTTTATATCAATGCATGCAAATAGTTGTTTTGGTCATTTTACACCATATATTCTTGTGCACAAGACATTTCAAGAAAAAAAAATCCCTTCTGCACAACCTTAGCAGGATTCAATTATACTTAATTATATTTACGTATATTTATCTTTTAAATTCATTTACATGTTTGCCGTAATGATGCGAGTTAGCGCCCAGGACGCTTATTTACTTTAAGTACCTTAAGGGAAGGTGCTTTTTCGAGACAGGGCACTTATTAGGGACAGGGCGTTTATTCCCTTTTTGAGACACGGCAGATTGTGAAACAAAGCTTTGATGTTCAGGTGACTGAGAATCAAAGAGACTGGAAAACGGACTTGTTGTCTGTGGATCCTTCTTTGCTAGAACGACTAGCCAAGCAACTGTCGCAAAATGTTAAGACAGGATCTTTTGTTTGAAGGAACTGTGCTCTCACGGAAACATGATAGTTGAGAGACTAAGACGAAGATCAATTTTTTGGTCATGAGGCTGTAAGTGAGCAATTAAAGGAAAGTGGACCTTGGTTGAATTCAATTTACGTGTACTATTTTTTTAGTGCTGCTACTGACACAGAAAAGGGGCACTTATTGGAATGAGGGTGCTTACTCAACAAGGGCGCTTATTTGGTAGGGGCGTCTTTTAACAGAAACATTTGAAGGGGGCCGCATATCAGAGAGGGGGCACTTATTGGAAGGAGGGCGTTAAATCGAATCATTACGGTACTACATAGATTTACCGAGAATATTCTTGGTGTCATGTACTTTAAATTAATATTTTGATTTATTTGCACAACGCTAACATGCAGAACCTTTTTAATACATTTGTACACGCTGGGTGTCCTTTGTCTCCGTTCTGCTTCCACAATTCATGATCAATAACTCGCATGTGTGACCAAGAGAGAATTTCTCCTTACAATACCATTACAATATCAAGCAGACAAGTGACGAGAATTAAGGAAACTATCAATAAGGGTATTGTTAGTGGATCCAAAACCAAATTCTCCCGAGAAACATCAAACGAATGGTATGGCAGACAGTAAGGAGAATTACCGGTACAAATAAGATCTTAGGAGCAAAAGAGTTAATGGAGATTGTTCACAAACAAGCTGCATTTATCGTTTTGTCCTCTTTTGTTCGAACGTTTTTTGATTTGCTCTGCTTATGCCTGTGATAGAACTATTTCTGACATTCCTGCTTGTATGTAACATTTCACGGAAAAGAAGACTTGTTAGATCATTCCTTTAGTGAAGAATTGTTCAGGTTCAGCCTTTGTCCTCTGTGATTTCCTTGAAATATCTGGGGTCAAAAACTAAGTCGAAAAACTGGTTTTACCACCAAAAATAACAGATCCCAATTTGGAATATCTGTCGTACATATCCGGTGGACAAACTTTGTTCCTATGTTTTTTTTTTTTAAATTTTTGTGGAGTGTATGACAAGCTGTACATGAATTTATCACTATTATGGTTCAAAATGTATTTGCATTCTTCATTGACTATTGTGTTGCAAATAACAAAACAAAACTTTTCATAAATACACACACATATATACAAATGATTTGAAGGATTTTTTTTTTTTATTATAAAAATTTTTTTTTCTTGATTTGAAGAATATTTTCCAGATCAATAGGAAAAAATGAGACACTTGTGGTAAATGTACATATGACTACACTTGAGACTTCAATGTGTCATTAATTTTATCAGGAAAAATGCTATAGTCTTCCACTTCCCAGCTAGTATCTCCCTCTTAGGGGCACTGGGAAAGGCTGGTTTTCAACTGTCGAAAAGCCCCTTTCTGTCGGGGATGCAAACTGCTCTTCGACTTCCTTAGATTATTTTTCTGATAAAAATTTGAAATCATAGAAATCCGTATCATTGAGGTTAAAACGCGTGCAGGTTTTTTTATTTTCTCGATATTCCACCGAGTTTTACGTTATTCCATCGGCAACATCTGAATCTCTGTTCGTCAAATGGTTTTCCGACATTTGAAAACTAGCCCCTATTTTGCGCACCATGTAGTAAATAAGTAAGTTTGTTTTCTATTTGTGTTTAATCCATTTGTTGTTTTCCAGGTGCTGTTGGAGTGAGACCGCCTATGAAAGAAGGTCTACTCAGTCGCCCCCCAGGCGGGCCATATCCTGGCCGAGGGGGAATGGTGATGCGCGGGCCCAGGCCTTTGCTACAGCAGTCACCTATGGCAGGAGGTTGTGTTCTGATGGTGTATGGACTACATCAGCACAAGATGAACTGCGACAGAGTTTTCAATATTCTTTGTTGCTATGGAAATGTCCTCAAGGTACCTTTAAATGTTCGCTCAAGAGGCATTGTAAGCTTTAACACTTTCACTCCCAAGATCTGATCGTTGTTAATTCTCCCCTCTAGCTGCTACACGTTTCCTTGTTAACTAGTTATAAGAATTTAGTGTTAGATCAAGATAACAATTTCTGCCTGATAAATTTGAATACTCTCGTTACCTGCTTGCTGGATAATGTGTGGATGTCTTAAGAGGAAGGTACATGTTAATAACTTCTGGGAGTTAAAGGGTTAACTTTTGTTCTGGGTTTAGTTGTTCAATGCATGGTTCTGTTTGGCTGCCATTTCTTAACTCATAAAACTTTTGACAAACTGAATTTGTCTGGGATGCGTGCAGTAATTTGCAGGTCGAAATAACGGCTTGTTTCCCCTTGTTTCATTCTCCAACGCGAAATCTCCAATCAGCAGAACAGCTGTAAATGACCGTAAGAAGGCGAAACCCAAATAAGAGAGCCTGCTTGCTGGCCAAACAGACAACGTTGGGAGGTTTTTTGAGCAGCGGTAGACCATCGTTAAACGACTTTGAGTGAAACCCAGCGGGTGGTCCTGTGTGGCGATAGAGAGAGAAATGTAGCACGTTAAATGACTTAAAGAGAAAAGCCAGGGTTACAAGACTGTTGTGATTGAAAAAATTTGATGTTTCAGGTGAAGTTCTTGATGAATAAGCCTGGAGCAGCCATGGTGGAGTTGAGTGACCACGTGGCCTGTAACACTGTCATTCAGTGTCTGAGGAACCAGCAACTGTTCGGTGAACAGTTAGAGTTCAGGTCAGTTCCCGCGCTTTGTGCAGTTTGGTTGTTTTTAGTTTTCATTTTTATTTCACATTGGCTCTTAAAGTTATTTTACTTTCTTCTGATTTCCCATTGTTATTACTTTGGTTTTGGTTTTACGTCACCCGATTAAAAGGCGCTCTAATGAGATAGGCGCGAGTCAATTAGAACTAAAGTAAACAGGTGTGAACGGCCCTTTGCGCGGGAAAACGCTTGCTACCAAATCGCTGGTAGTCTCAGTTTGCATCTGATTGGTTGAGAAAGTGGTGCGAGAACTTAGGAGCGTTTACTAAGCCCAGTGAAGCAGAACCAATTTAATATTTTATTGCTTTTCACACAAAACTTAAAATTTCACGAAATGGTTTATTTTCATTGCAGTTTTTCCAAGCAAAAGTACCTTGTAGATGCGTCGACTGTCTCAGATTTGCCAGACGGAACTCCATGTTACAAGACTTACACAAATTCCAAGAATCAAAGGTTTTGGACACCGGAACAAAGCAGCAAGAATCGTATCCTTTATTTATTTATTTTTAACACTTTTAGGATGTAGAAATATATCGAGGTCGTTGATCAGTAGTATTGCAGAGCGTAAACAATAAGAACGGCAACGTGGAGGGATATGTCGATCAAAAAGTGGATTTTTCTTTTAAGAAATTCCCAAGGGCAAGTTGTGTTTGCTTTCTCAACGGCGCTAGAACTCGACTTCAGCATAACAATCGCTATTATTACGCTAATGTTATGGGGCAGTCCCGCTGAACAATTTTTTGGGATGCACCACCGACGCAGCGCTACAGTTTCTTTAGAAACTTACCCTCTTTGTTCACTTCGCTTTAAGATTATCATTTAACCAGAACCCTATGGTGTCAGCAGCTTTATTCCTTTGCCTTATTTTTTCGTAGCCGTTCTTTACACTTAAGTTTGGTTTTGTGATTTGTCTTTGACTTAGTGACAGGTATATTTTCTCCAACGAAAGTATTACACTTTTTTAATGCCCCGCCAGACTTTGAAACAGAAAAAGTGACAGAGGTAAGCTCTTTTGTATTAGGTTCGACTCAAATTGAGAGTATTTGGAGGGCACACGCTCGAAGGTTCAGATTGAGTATTGATTCATCACCATAGTATCCCACATGTTCCACATGATGGACTTCCTTTTGGAATGAAAGAATGTTAGTTAAGTATTTAAATAAACGAAGAAAATCACCAATTTCTTCTTCATGCTTTTCTAGATGTGTTCAAATTGTGGCGTGGAGCCGCCCGTTGCTGTTAAAGTCTTTCCAAATGGTATGTCTCTATTTTAGACTTTCCTTGCCACAACAAAAAATATGCTTTCATGTTAAGGAGTCACTTCGTAAGGGGTTTGGTGTAGGTCACTCTACCTCAGTTGTGTCGACGATTTCAGATGATTCAGTTCTCTTTATTCGAGATGTTCGTACTATCGCTTAACACGGGCGATGTAATGAAGATCTGTGCGTTCGCTGATATGAAGCTGTTCAAATCGTGAGGCGGAGCAGAAAAATATGAAGAAAAGAAAAAATTTCTGAGCCGATGTTCACATGCAATTGTACCTTTTTGTTTATTCGCAGCCTCGCGGTCAGCGGCAGGTCTGTTAGAATGGAACAGCCCGTCCCAGGCCCTTGAGGCACTGGCAGCGTGCAATCATTACGTGATTCGTGATCCAGGTACAGTATGTTCGTGCCTGTCAAGCTTGTGTGCATAACATTTTCTTCGTTCGTGACGAACGCTTCTTTTTTTTTTCATTCTTTATTTTGCTCTAAATTTTCAGATCTAATCCTTTTTTTCGCTTTTCAGCTGCAAAAACCATCTTCACAGTTAAACTTGCCTTCTCGTCCATGTCCAGCGCCCAGTGAGAGAAAAGTCAAAAGCGACCTGTCCCTCCCCTGACGTATTGTTATAAGCGACCCTGTCGGAGGGTGGGAAAGTAACCTATTTAGGATCCTAGCAAGAAAAGATACAGACTTTCATCTAAAAGAAAACGAAAAATTGAGATTTATTTTGGAGTCATTATTGTCCAAGTATTTTAGGAAAAAAGTTAAAACTATTACCATGTTATTTGAAGTAGATGTGTTTGTTTATTTTTTAAGAGTTTATTTGCTACTTGGTAGTATTAGATGGAAGATTAGTCCTTATATCCCATAGAGAGTTCACGATGTTTTTTGTAAAATTGTTCATTCTAGTAAAGAGAAGCGTGCGCTTTAATTTGGTAGAGACCATGTCATTCTGCAAAGCTGAAACGCTGTGACAGGTCTATGTGACAAACTGCAAAATGAATTTTTTTCTTCCCAAAGCAAGAAGCAGCGACGTTTTTGCAGTCGGGATCATCGTACACAAATTCGTGCGACTTATTGCGTTGACAATTGATGTCGCAGTGACAGGTTTTTTACAAAATTTTTCATGTCACACCTTGCGAATTGACGCTGAGACTTTTTCCCTCCTATTGTCGCAACAACCGGTCGCTTACTACCTGATTACTAATATGTAGGCCCTAATTTGCAATCCGGCTGCCTTGTTTTTTTTTTATTTTTTTATTTTTTCTAAAGGTAAGGGATAGAAATGAACACACACAAAAAATGACTATGCTCAGAAAATGAATTTTCTTTGATTGTCATGTGACTGTATATTTCCTAGGTTACGTGGATGTTTTTGCGCAGGCTCATTTCCAGACAGCAGCTGGTAATCGAGTCTAACCCCCCATATTTCGTCACTTGGGAGTTACTAGACGACATTCACTTTGTCATTAGAGAAAATTTATAAAATATTTTGATTTAACTCTCAAATTCACGTATAGCTTTTGTAACGGAAATTGTGTTATATCGGCTATTTACGCAACCCTCTTACCGCTGTTGAAACGGTAACCTCGTCAAATAAAACGACTTAGTTGAACAGGTCATTATATCACCATGATTCTTGTGTGGGCAGTAATCCGTGCAAAACATAGTGATTTCTCATTGCGGAGCATTCGTTCACGCTTTAGAAGGAGTGAATAAAATGCCAACGTTCTACTTACAAAGCCCAACTTTTATAATAATTTGACTTTAACCCTTTATCAGCCAGAAGTGATTAACATGTAACTTCTTCCTAAAATATCCGTACCTTACAGGACAAGCAAGTAATAAGAATAAGCAAACTAATCAGGAAGTTGTTATCTTGATCTAACTCCAAATTCTCATAACTAGTTTACAAGGAAACGCGCAGTAGCAAGAGGGAGAATTAAAAATCAAATCTCGGAAGTTGAAGAGTTAACCGTTGGAAGTGTGTTCGCCTACATGCGATATATTTTTCCTGAGATGTCTAAGCCTCTGAGTTTAAGCAGTCGATCTAGTTATAGGGGTAGAATTTTTCCGTTTGGCTTTGAGGCAGTGGGCTTAAAATGGTAGGGACTTCGTCAATAGTTCGACTTGCCTTCGTGTAGTAGTTGATGTTGAGTGCTTAATATTTATAGGCTGCTTGACTGCAAGATTTGGCGTTTCCGGTTACATGTTAGAAACGTGCAGGTGAAATCGGACAGTTTGGACTTGAAAGCTTATCAAGCCACAAATTTCAGACGTTTCAAATGTCAGCCCTTCGCCTGGACGAAGGGCTAACTTTACAAAAAGTCATTTTTAGAAACTCTCTACGATGGTCAATTTACATTATCAACTCAGTTGATAAAACCAAAATAATTCAAAACATAATCGTGTAAATAAAAAAACGCTCGATTGTAATTGTAATACAGCTCTTATTTGTGGCTTGATGAGCTCATTCAAGTCCAAACTGTCCGATTTCACCTGCCCGTTTCCAACACTCGTAACCGGAAACGCCAAATTAAGTTAAGCAGCTGATAAAACAAAATTATCTTTTCATGCCCCCCAAACGACACAGCTCCACAGTCTCTTTAATTAGAAACTTACCCCCCTCAGTCATTTCCCGTTTCGTCTGTGATCACTATTCCAGAGACAATTAAAGGACATATAATAAAGCATATCTCCTCCCACAAATTATTAAAGAGAAAGTGAAAGAATTTTCCTCAGCTATTCCAACACGGCTTTCCTCAGAAGAAGAACACAGACCACAGGAGTAATAAGAGGTAAGCTGATATCATTCCTTCTTGAACAGCCATAAAACTATAAGTATACACATGTAGATTTACAATCAATCTAAAAGCAAAGATTTTAAAGTTAATGCAACTTTCTGTGCGTAAGTTTTCATTACAAGCTTTATTGGATAACAGCGGTAAAGGCCAAAAGTATCTTTCTCTTTGATTTTCTCACCGAGTACAAAGCGTTAGGTCTCTGAGCGAAATACACGATCACTCACCTTGCATCATGTATATAGGGCATAAATCCTACGATGAAAGTTCACCTCGCTGTATGTCTTAAAAGTTATTTTCTAAAAACGCAAAGCGCGATCCTTAATCTTCCCCCTTAGTTCTTTTCTTAGAAAACCGCTTGTCGCTTTGTAGAGTACCGAGTAGGGTTCGAAGCTAAATGAAACTCTGTCACTCCCAAAAGGCACGCCTCTTCTTAAAATTCTAGCAATTTTCCGCCAGTTATTTTTGCAAGAAATCATCTGCTTTGTAAATTGGTTTGCTAAGATACAGTTTATCACCAAATCGCTTTTACATCTAGGTTTGATTTTGATAACAACAGACATCATTCATAGCACGTTTGTCGGCTCGGAAATGTTTCTAACAGATAAATTGGAAGACAATTTGCTGAGCACAAGGGCTTGATGTTTTTGGGTGGGCACATAGGTATTCTTTGTCTTTATCGAAAGCTCTTCCAAGAATGATCCAGATCAGAGGCAGATTAGACTTGTTAAAAAGGAAAGGTACTTTCGGAGGTAAGGTTTTCTAGGTAGGTTGCGCGAGGCACTTGTGAATTGAACATAGAGCTAAAGAATAACCAAAATAAACAGCAGCTCGTGCTAATTCTTCACCTGCTTCTTTTCAGGCTATTTAACTGTAACAAACTCAATTCCTCTTTGGAAAATTACGCAATTGTGGTCAATTTCATTCCTTTTAATTGAGAGACAACGAATTTTGATACAAAGCTTCGAGTAGATACTCTTTTGAATGGAATTAAAGAAAACTCTGAAAGCGCAGTAGGATAGAACTGTGTTTTTGCGTGTTTGTAACCGGACAGGTGAAATTGGACAGTTTGGACTGAAATAGACACTGATTAAGCCAAAAATAACCACCCATATTCAAGCATTTTGTTATTTCGCTTCACTTCACTTCACTTCACACTTTTATTTTTATTTTCATACATATTTACGAGATATTCCTTTGACCCGCAGACAGCAAATGCTAATCGACACGGCTCAATTTTTTTCCTTAACTAACTTAATTTAATTACTCTGGAAATAAAACAGAAGTGAAAAAAATATGACATAAAAAGACAAAAAGATACACAAGAAAAGAAAAAAAAAAGGAAAATTACGGATGTTCAATTGTAAAGGAGAAAACGTCTTAGCGTTTCTAAGTGTACGAAAAATATTGTAGAACTGGTTCAATTTGGTTCCATTTTTCTGTGTTTGAATTTTAGCATTATCTCATTAGGCTCCATGTAAGAATCATTAGTTTCTAGGATATTGAGAAGAGCTCTTTTTGTTTCTTTTTTAAAGGGTTTCTTTGACAAATTTTTATTTTCATTACTGACATAATTATGTTACAAAAAGAGACAATTAAAAGACATATTACAGAATATCTCCCGCCACGACTTATGAAAAGAAGTTGAAAGTCGTTTCCCTGAAGTGCATATAGACCGCTTGTTTATGTCTCTTGAAAAAGGAGAACCAAAAAATAACTCATCAAGTTTCTGTTGTTCTGATTCCGATGGAACTGAAAAGTAGCCACGCCTCAGTAAACCAAACAGAATTGCACTGAACTAGGTACCTTAAGCAGTAGGACGGAAACGCCGAGAAAAGTTGAGATTAAAAGCGGTGATTGATTCATATTTCCGTAAGAGTTCGCGAGTAAACAGCGTTTAAGGACGCCGGACCTTAGCTTCAGCTAATTTGACGTATTTGAGCGGTGTTGAATTCCAAATAGAGACGTTAATATTCTTCGTCGGGGCTTCTGTTCCCGGACGGCGAACTGGTGATTTCACAGTGCCTTTTTTCAGAGGACGACTAAGAGATAAAAAATCTTATTTTGTGCGTGCTGAGCTATTTTCCTGCTCATTAAATCTGTTCAAGTTTGCCACGTTCTCGTAGCCTTCGCCGTTGGGGTTACTGTTCCCAGACCAGAAAAATTTTGGTGATTTCACGTCGTTTTGCAAAGGAAGGCTAAGAGACTCTCCTAGCCGTCCTTTGCGAAAAAAAAAAAAAAAAAAAAAAAAAAAAAAAAAAAAAAAAAAAAGACTCTCAAAACGAAAAAAACGAAGGAAAAAAAAAATCTGAAAAAGCACGTGCTGCGCTATTGTTCTACTCATTAAGTCTTTTGTTTAGCCATGTTCTCGTTGCCGTCGCCGTCCAGGTTTGCTTAATAAGAGTCTCTATTATGCTTTGGTAGTGTGCTAATTTTAGCTGATTTTAACGGGTGGTTTGAAATCCTAATGGGATCAGAAATTGTTGCACTTTATCACGCCATTTTCGGATTTTGCGTGCCTAGCGGCGATATTTTGTAATCAGAATTAATAGGCCCAGAAAACTGAGAAGCTACTTTATTTTCCTTGAGGCCTGCTTTGTAAGCTTCTTCCTAGACAACCTGATGGAGAGTGCGTTTCAAGGGCGGAACAGTTTAGCAGGGCAGCAGGGAAAGTTGCAATTTTTCTGCTCCCTCCCCTTGACAGGGAGGTAATTTGACAAAGTAACACATCCAGGTGTTCGAGTAATTCCCTGAAGTGAGTTACCCTCTCATAGATGAAATACTTACCATGAAAACCAAATAAAACAGGTTATAGAAAGTCCCTGAACCTTACTTTTTAAATACACTGATTTGAGTAGAAAGACTGCGAAGACGACCGCGCAGTAGGAGTTTGATTTGTTTATCACGAGTATGATTACAGACCGAACTGGACGACACGAAGTCTTATTACTAATTAATCATAAAAATTACAATTTCAGAAAAAAGAAGAATAACCAAGTTATGAAAGTTATAAATGGTGATTGAAACAAAGGTTGTGATTGATTATCTTAAACTACAACTTTGAATGTGATTGGTTGATTTAAACTACAATTTTGAATGTGATTGGCTTATTGAACTTTCCCATAACCGCAAACTGTCCGATAATAAAATGTCCGATAACAACTGAGCGAGTCAATTAGTGGAGAATAGAAGTTTTTTAAACCGATAACAATGACAAACCTAAAAGATTATCTTCCTAAATCAGGTGTTTGGTGTTTTTAACCTACGGTTACTACGGGAGTTCGGTAAAGTTGTTAGACTTATACCTGACTGGTTTGGTTTCTTTAATTTCTTTAAAGATGCAAAAGAAACCAATAATCCTATACTCCTATGGTAAAAAAAAAAAAAAAAAAATCGTGACCCGCTTAAATGAAGACTAATTATTAAAGTGTGAAAATACATTCCAAATCAAACTTAGAGTTGATTTCGTCCAGGATAGAAACTCATTAAATTTATCGCTGAAAGGGGTTCTTTTGCTAATCGATGATGGGTATAGAGGTTCTGACACAAACGGCCCGGAGATCTCCTTTTACTTTCAAACCGTGTTTTTTACGCTATACCTATGACTGCGTGAGGAGTCAAGGACAAACAGGAAAACCTTGAAAGATTTGTGTTTTACGGAACATTCCTCGAAGATTCCTTTATGTAATAGATGAAGGTCGGAAAGAAAATGCCACGATGAAACACTTTTTGATAAAAATGATCCCTGTTTTCTTGAGATTTGAAAAACTTCAACGTTTAGCTTTTAACCGTCCTTCGGTAGTAACCTAACACAGTCGTTATACTTTTAATTAGCAACCACTGCTAGAGATAGATTAAAACTGATTTATTAACTTTTCCATTTTGCCATTAAAACCAATTTGAAATAATCAAGAACTGATCAGAATATCTCCCCGGCATTACAACTTGGGCAACGAAGAAAGTTCAGTTTGGTATCTTAGCAACAATCAATTCCTTATAAACTGCTCTTTATACGTACAAAGATATCTCTTCAACACTTTGAATTGGCGTCAGCTTCTGGTAAACTGCTATGAATATTCAAAGCTTATTATGTAGAGCATTCATGTTTGAAACCGCCCAGGTGCAATTTCGTTTGCTCTCGAATGTTTGCTTAATCTTGTTTTCGAAATTCCGCAAATGAGTGATTCTGCGCCTAAGACTGATTTCACCGAGAGACAACACACTCTTTATAGTCTTTCAAAAAGGCACTTTAAGGCTTTAGGAAAAGAGTCTCCTGGTAAATCAAAATTATATATCAATACATTTTCCATCAATAGACAAATGTTTGATCTGATGAAATTTTATCACTGGAGGTTACTTTTAGGCAAGATGCCTAAACATCTATTCATTTCGTTTTAAATTACCCCATGTTTGTTCGATGAACAGTGCTGTATTTTTTTCTTCGTATTATTTCTAGTATTGCTATGGGCGTCGTTGAATATCTCCAAGTCATGCTGTTTGTTTTCAACCTGACCCTCTCCAGCGTGGCACATCCAGCAGTGAATTGTCAAAACTTCAAGTTTGTTATCGACGAAGATGTCGTCTTTAACCACATTCTTGAGGGTCACGTGTTTCAAAGATCGACAGTCCGCGGTCCAGCCCAGTGTCACGCAAAGTGCAAAGATGACTGTCTGTGCGCATCCATGAACTACTTTCCTCAGTCCAAAGAGAATAACTGCGAGCTTAACGATGCTAATAAAGACATGGAGCCAGCGGCAATGAAATGGAGGCAAGGAGGAAACTATTATGCTTTGGTGAGAAGCTACACAGTGAGGGTAAGATAGAACTTTTAGTTGGTTCGTTTCTTCTCAAATGAGTTGATTATTTAAGTAACAGCTCAGACTTCATTCATTTACTCGTTTGTCATGCACTCAATTTGTCGTTGGCTACTCAGGCGCACGTAAAAACTCGATTCAATGAACTTTCAAAGAAAATGGCATCACAACAGAAACATTGTGAGCTAACAAAACTCTAAATATTACTGTAGGGTGGAGAGAAATACATCCCTGAGAAGCATCGTTGCATCAACAGATGCTGCCACACTAATCCTTGTCTCAATGGGGGTACATGTCGGGAGATTTGTGACACTCGCAGCACCAGGTTTAACTGTACCTGTCCTAAGACATACTCTGGTCAGCGGTGTGAGAAGATGAAACATCCGAGAAGCTGCAAAGACGTAGCTAAGAACGGTGCCTCGACATCAGGAAAATACGACATCTACGATTCAAACAGTAAACGGTTTTCTGTTTACTGTGACTGGCAGTCTGAACCTGGCTTTGTATGGACATTAATACAATCGTTATCCTTGTCCAAGAGAAATTCCTTCAATTATGCAGGGTTTGGCAAAAACGTTGAGATTGATATTGAAGAGGGGGAAGTGAATTGGAACGAGTTCCGACTATCCTTATCACAGATGCAGTATCTTGCTAATCACTCCACACATCTGAGAGCAACTTGTAACTTTTCTACGGATGGTCTGCAGTATACGGACTACGCACGCGCTAAGCTGGCAGGTCATGACATTTTTGGTACCTGGCACACCTGCCAGATGTACGAATATGTTAATATCCGAGGAATCTACTGTTCTAATTGCACCGCCCTGACAAAACAGCAGGAAGATGTGTCCTGGCACATAAGGAGTTACAATAGCATAGAAGTCGGATGTGAATTTGATGGAAAACCAGGTGGAGTCCCCGATGAAAAAAATTTCGGACAATTTGGCAAGCGTTATAAGAATCAGGATCACCGCTGCTCGTTTTCTCCTGCTTCTACAACGCAGCATTGGTTTGGAGCTAAATGTGACGTGTAACTTTTTGCGAACTAATTTTCTTTCACAGAAAAGGAAACGCAGCCAACTGAAAGCAAGAGAACATCGCAGGAAGGCTAAGAACTAACAATGAAATCATGTGCCTCCAAGTCTGGTCCACACTAGTACTTGAATTTGAACTAAACGTTTAATATCTCAGATACTTATACTGACTCTTTATCAGAGAGGAATGTAGACATGCACAAGGGCGACGTCAAAAAAACCCTCCATATTTTAATACTTGAAGTAAGCAAGTGGTGTCTTTACATACAACTTTCACCTGCACTTTCATCTTTTCATGTGATGTTTAATAGATAGTTCAATCATTTACATCTCAAGTTAAAAGTCGAAGGTTGATCAAATTGGCCTTTTTTCATATTCGTCTTTGAAAACGCATTCAGAGCTCACCATAAGTTGATTTAAGCAAATTGTTTTCAAGCAAGCGACTAATCGTAAGTTGAAATGCTTGTGTTTAGACCCGGAGATATTAAATTAATAGCGTAAGCAGGGCATAGCGGTTTGTTAAGAGTTTTAACATTTCTTTAATCTAATTATGACATGTTTACTCGTCGTAGGGCGACATTTTCTTGACTTGGTCAATCAACCGTTTTATCTAAACTAATAATTGAAAATTATCTTCGGCTTCGTTAGTTTGATTTTTAGTAAAACAAAGCTTTAAGTTTAGGTTTATTGTTCTCGCCTTAAATAGTCCGTACTGTAAGGAGAACCCTCCCTCGAAATGGTATTTACTAAGTGGCAGGGAGATGTGAAGAATTTCTCCTGAGAGGGAAATATGCATAGTTTTGCTTGATTTTAATATTAGCGACTCGATACATAACTGTTAGAAACCCTCAACAGCCTCTCTTTGACAAGGACTAAGGTACTTAAGTGCTTCGTTAGGATCACTGCTTACTTTATAACATTGCACATTTGTTCATAAAACAATTTTTGGAATGTTCAAAATGTAGGAGATGAAGTAAGTATAGTAGTTGGAGCAGGTGTTTGTGAAGAGAAGTACCGGTGAAGTGTAAAGGTCATTCAGGATTGTTGTACATAATGTGAGACATCATTTTATTATATTATCATATTAGTTGTGAACGATTGTTGCTCATCGTAATGTTACGATCTTGAGTATTCGAATTTGACAAAAAACCGCTGACGTCACTTTGGTAACATAACATCGAATTCAGTATGACGAATAGTATGAAAGATATGCGGCAACGAGGGGGATACTGTGTTGCTGGTGCCCCTGACCAGCAAAGTTGTCAGAATAGATCGTTTCGGCACCAGTCATAGAATGTTTCAGTTCCCGAACGATCCTGACTGTGAGAGGAAAATGGGTCAAATTTGTCCGCAGACGAAAGAAACGATCTTAAAGATCCAACTAGGCAGTAAACGTCGCTTTGTTTGGCAAATTTTGAAGAATTAACTAAATTACTACAACAGCATGAAGGCCCAAGGGATGAAGATGAAGCGCTTTTTAAGAAACGACATTGTGCAACCAGGGACACTAGTTTTGTGCGTGGTGTAAACTAAATTTTAGTGTTTTTGTACCGTTTCCTTAAATTGTTTTCCTATTTTTTCTCTTTGCATACTAATACTGCTTAAAAAAGTCATTCCAAACATTCAGCTCCTTTAACGTACAAATAACTTAAAAGAAACCCAGTTGAAATATCATCAAAGGTGGCGGATACAAAAGTAAGGAGGGTTGAGTGAGGTAATTTCCAATTGGACTGTTTCTCAGTTTTTGAACCTTTGCTTTTGTGAATCCCTTTATAGAGAGCTCAGCCAAAAAATATAGAGCTGGAGCTGGATCGACCATCATTCATAATTCATGTTAATTTTTCACCTGCCTCTTTTAACTGTAGCAAAGTCAATTCCTCCATGGAAACGAAGGAAACTATGTTTATTTCATTCCTTTCAATAGTAAGACAATGAGTTTTGACACCCAGCTGTAAGTATCTATTTTTCTGAATGAAAGACAGTTTAAAGATTAAAAGGTATCGGCGATCTCCTTTGTCTGTCTCTAATCTCTACCGCTTCTTGTTGTGAAATTACTCGTTTTGTTTGTGATCACTACTCCAAAGATAATTAAAAGACACATTACGACGTATATCCTCCCACGAATGTTAAAAAAAAAGCTCCTTTTTTTTAGCTATTAAGTCACTTCTGTGGAGGATTAAAAGAAAAAAAGGGCTATTCAACTGAATCACACTCAACTCCTCCTTGGAAACGTACGAAAATGCCGTGGTCAATATCTTTCCTTCTAATGGTGGGGAAAACAACTTTGACTTCCAACTGTAAGGATCGATTTTTCTCGATGAAAAACAACTCATGGCGAACTCTTTTCATTGTTTCTGGCCTCTTCTATTTCTTATTATGAAAAGTTTATAGGTTTTGACTTCCAACTGTAAGGATCGATTTTTCTCGATGAAAAACAACTCATGGCGAACTCTTTTCATTGTTTCTGGTCTCTTCCATTTCTTATTATGAAGTTTAATTGTTTTGAGTGATAGAAAGGTGGAAGTATTTACCATATTGAAGGGCAAACCAAAAATTGAAAAAGTCAGAGGAGGCACCTGGCACATAAGGAGTTACAATAACATTGAGAGGGGATGTAAATTTGATGGAAGACCAGGAGGACTCATCAACATGGAAAACAATTTCGGAGAATATGGCTGCAACGATATAGATCAGGATCACTGCTGCTCGTCCTTAACTACTTCTGCAACCCAGCACTAGTTTGGAGCTAAATATGACCTGTAATTTTTTGTGGATTCATTTTCTTCTTTAGAAAAGGAAAAAGCAGCCCAAAAAATACGACTCTGAGAAACTACTGGAGCAAGACTAAGAACAAACAATGACATTATTTCTATGTTTTCAAGTGTGTTCACTGCGCTCACTCGTTCATTTTTTGTGATGTATCGCAACTCGTGAATAAAAATCGTTCGTAGGCACTTTCCATGGAGTAATCTCTATGTATATAAAATAGTTCTCGTTTTCAAAGCTTAACTAAATGTGTCAGTAATCATTGCAACGAAATCTTTTAACTAAGACTCGCATTTAATTTTTGCATTTTAGCGGTGACAGTGAAATAACAACTATGAATCTCTATTGTAGTCTTGAAAGCAACTGAGACAATCAATCGTTGCTTCGATAAAATCAAGTCGGGGACATGTGTTCTCTGGTAGAGCACTTTTAATGAAGACTTTCATCGATATGTATTGACTGAAGTTGGTGCAAGTTAAGATTGACGATCATTAATATTTAACGCCATTTTTTCGTTATGTAGTCATAAAGACAGAACACAGCTAAAGAGAAGAGACAACATGTGATTTGTTTCTACCCCGTTGATTAAACAAAACTCATCCGGCGTGACTTATTCGATATGTTTAAAGTCACTTTTTTGTACTATCGACACAGCATAATATATCTGGAGCTCCATGCACACTGTACCTCAGATTCTCATTTCAATCTAGGCCAATTTTTTTTTATATCAGTTTTTTAATCTATCATCGAGACATTCGACCCGGAGAACGATGGTCCCTTTGTCAATAAGCATTATGTAATCACTTTCGCGTCAAAAGAAGAGAACTCTTTAAGGCGCTGATTAAGATCTTGCCGAACGTCTTAAGCGCTGTTTACACCGCGTTCCACCATAATACGATCACGTACCTATTCATGATTTTTTACCTTTCCCTACGTGTACTCTGATTGCTACGAACTCAATTTTAAATGTCTTAGTATAATTGTTAAGATACCCAACTAATTTGTACGTTTTTAAGGTCCACCATGAGTGTTCTTCGCTATCTACATGTGATGTTGCTAGTATCTCAGCTCACTCACACCAAAGAGGAGCGGCCAACAGTAAATTGTCAAAAGTTCAAGTTTGTTATCGATGAAGATGTCGTCCATAATCATATTCTTGAGGGTCACGTGTTTCAAATATAGACAGTCCACAGCGCCATCCAGTGTCAAGTGAAGTACAAAGATGACTACCTGTGTGTATCCATGAATTATTTCCCTCTGTCCAAAGAAAATAACTGTGAGCTCAACGACGCTAACAAAGACGCGGAACAAGCCGCAATGAAATGGAGTCAAGGAGGAAATTATTATGATTTGGTGAGAAGCTACACGGTGAAGGTGAGAGATAGAATCGTTTGCTATTGATAGAGTGAACTTATTTATTTATTTTTTACTTACATTTTTATCATAACATAGCGCGTGCGCAAGGCCTACCTATATCCTAAGGGAGCTATCATGATAAAAATCCTTTATCTTACGTTTTGCTCCGTTTTTTGAATAGTTGATATCAGTTTTAAGTGTTCATATATATCCTAAAAGTATTGTTAAATAGCAGATTTTAATTTTAAAAACCATACAATTTCACAATCTTCAAAATCTTCAACATAAACCTACGCAATTTCTGGCCTTGAATTCTGGTAAACAACGATTCAAGCATATTGAATCTATTACACGCTCTCGTACATGCTAAAATTTGGTCGTTTTTCAGAATCTGGCTCTGTATGGGCATTGATACAGTCGTTATCCTTTGCCAATAAGGCCACATATAAGGATAATGGGGTTTGGTACGGATTTTCCTGTAAATGACAATAACAATGAACCGGACTGGAACTCTTACCACTTTTCCTTATCACATATGCAGTCTCTCTCAAACCACTTCACACATCTAAGAGTAACATGCAACTTACCTGCAGATGGCCTGCAGTGTACGGACTACGTAAGCGCTGTTCTGGCAGGTCTTGACATATTCGGTGACTGGGGTGGAGACCGCAAACTGTTTGATTATATTAACATCCGTGGAATTAACTGTTCTGATTGCACCGCCTACACAAGAAAGGATGTTAATAGTGCTTAGTTCGTTAACAGTTTAAAAAGCAAGGAGAGAGAATGCGACTTGATGGATCAGTAGGAGCAATTGATAGCTATTGGAAGGGGTAGCATCATATTTTATTTAATTGCCTGAATGCTGTTTCATCAAT